AGTGTGGACATTTTTCCCCCTGTAAATGCAAAGCCTGATAACCTTATCGAGAGCCTTTACAAACTGCTTTATAAAGCCCAGCTTGATATGTTGTGGAGGAAAGGTGATTTTTCTTGATTAAGGGTTCCTTAATATTGATATTTTCTCCAAAGACTATATCCTCTGTCTTATGCCCAGTGTGTTTTGTCTCAGCTATCCCAGAGGCATAAGAAACAAATATCTTTGTTGTGGCCACTTCGCTGTCCAAGGAAAATGTTTAACACTTTTAACTCTGCACAAACCATCCATTGATGTTCATACATTTTTTTTTTTTTTTTGTGCTCCCCTTCCTCTGCCTTTTAGGCTATACCGCATTTTCCTGATCCAGGAGGGATTAATGCCTTGAGTTAAAGACCCTCCACCCCTCACCAGGACCCAAACTCTTAATCAAATTATATCTTACATCAGGATACCTGGTAATGGTGTTGGCTCCCTTGGCCTCTTGTTCATGATATCTTCTCCAAGAACAAAGCTATGGTGCTATATGTTTCTTTCATTGCCGTTGAATAAGCAATTAGTATTGGACAATATTTGTTCCCATTGTGTAGAAGAACACATTTCAAGCTTCATTTTGAGCTATCGATAAACAAGTGCCAATCTAAAAAAATATATTTTTTTCCAGGAGTCCTTCAATATTGTGACACAATACAAGATTTTCCTGAGAAAAGAATAGTAACAGGCACTTTTCTCTTGTATGGTAAAAAATTATTTTGGTTTCTTGTTATAGTACACTTTTGTGGTTCAATCTGGAAATCAGTAATTCAGAAGCTTTTTAAAAGTTAAGATCTCTGACAAGGTCATTTAACGTTGAGAAAGTTTTGATATCCTGTCTGATCACTGTCACCTTCATTAGTATCAGAAGGGTTATTATAGGGACAACACTCCTTCTCAGAAACCTGTGTGACAGGCTTTTTTGCAAAGACTCACAGGGACACATCCTGTTCTTTGTGTAGAAGCCTTAAACCAGGATAATTCAACTTGCAATGGTTGTTTCCATAGATTCCAGTAATATTTACTAGACATAAATAACATTCATTGATGTGATTTTTGGGCTTTGCCGAATTTCAAACTTTCTGTTTTTTTGTTTTTTTCTTGAAATGAAGGATGAGATTCCCAGTGACAGAAAAGGGGATTCCCAACCTGGTCCAGCAGAAAGGAAGCGGCTCGTGACAAGAAGGCGGTTTTACTTCTCTTTTCACAATTACTTCAAAAAGTAGATTTTATGTGGGAAAGCTGATTTCATATTTAGATTAGCTTAGAGTACTACCAACGGGTAGTTTCTCAATAAGCGTGTTTCATGTGATAATATTCCTCTATACACATTTACTTGATGTATAATAATACAGTTGTAAATATCATAATAAAAGTTTTTAAAAAAATATTTAGATTAGCTAATATAGCTAAAATCACTTCCAAAATCGCACGTACCGTTTTTTTTTTTTCTCATGTAAGCCTGTGACATAACAAAAACTATTGTCTGTAGATAGGTGCCGGCCGTAGGACAGAGCATCCCGGAAATTGTCTCGAGCATCCACTCCTCGTTGGAAATAACAAAAATATTACAAAGCATATGAAAATAATTTAGCCTAGGATCATTTAAGGGCCCCTTGCGCGGTCAATATTATCGAAGAACTATAATTGAAAAATAGATAGATAGAAATTTATTTGTTTTGGGGGGAAGAGGACGGTTTCCTAAAACAAATAGAGTCTAGCTTGGCTATTGTAGAATAATATGGTTTTATAAGTTATATACATATCATTTAAAAATAAATAAAATTTACTATATTTTACTTTTAGAATGGGTTTTACAAAACATGAATAACAATGAAAATTAAAAACAAAAAACGATTACTGCATAATAATAGTTAGATAGACCGGTTACTAGGGTAGAAACAATAAAAAATATTTATATATATATATATATATATATATATATATATATATATATATATATAAACAAAATATTACTTTTAAGATAAACTAAAAACAATCACTTAATAGAACATGGACTATGATAAACAATTTTGTGTATGCGCTTTGTGTACTACCGTCATATAACAGTAAACTTTATTTAACTTAGCAATACAATCGATATTCAGTATGGATTCGACGTTGCGGTTATCAGAAATAGCCTGTCGATAGCTATTTCCACATCCAGAATATCTGGTTTTTCAACCTCAAGTAATAATTATATGTTATTAAAATTATATTTTTGTGTGGCTAAAGTTGATAAGTCTTAAGAGAATTTTCATAAACATTGAATGAAAACGAATGTTAGAAATATCTGGAATTTTAGTTTTGCTCTCCTGAAAAGTTTTCAAATTTGACATATCAACTTTTGGCAAATAACCACATAATTATACTTCGCTCTCTCCAAAAAGAAAAATAATTACATTCTTTAATTTTTTTGAACAAGAATAATGGTGGATTTCATGCAGTATTAGGGTGGAGCAACTGGGGCAATTGCCCCGGGGCGCTTAGAGGGCCCGAGTTAAGAGCGCCAGCCGATCATCAGGGGCACTCGAGATTTGTAAGAAATAAAAACAAAGTTACAAAAGGTATTAAAATAATGTGGGCGGGGTGGCTGAATGGGCTAACGCGTGTGCACTGCACCGCCGTTGCCCGGCAACCTGATATATCAATCAAAGATATAAAAATAGCACGAGTTCGCGTCCCGGTGCCCGGAGTTTTTAAATCCCCGCCCACACTCTCTGGCCCGGGAAAACCCCCGTATAGCCTTAAAGGCGAGGAAGGGAAGGACAAAAAAAAAAGAAAAAAAAAAGTATTAAAATAATTAATTTTATTAATTATAAGTCTGCCTATAAAGCAACGGTATTAGAGAAATGTTGAATGAAGTGAAATTCAACTATTACGTAATATAAAAGAGTTTAAGAAATAAATTTAATTTTTGGGGGGTAGAGAGAAGACGTCATTGTACGGGGCGCCGAATGTCTAAGGCCGTCACTGATTTCATCTTAGAATAACAGATGGAACAATAATGATGTGATAATAACTGACAGTGCAAAAATTAATAAGTTCATTCTAAGTGAAATAGTTGCATTACCCATTGATTTTTTTTTAAAATGTAATGAAATAGAAAAAAAAAACACGTGAAAATGGTCTTAGAAATCATTCAACGCATTTTTAATCAATAACAAATTATTCTGGATGTGAGGAAATTATTATCAATATCATAAAACTAGACATTTTTTAGCAAGATTCAAACGATGGAGGTGGAGGAGAGTTCTAACTAGATGGAGGAGGCAGTTTCTCGACGATTCATCATCGTGATGGTGTGTACTTTTCCATAAAATTCCGTTTCTTCTCTTGTCTACACCAGACCTATAATTATATTGAAAGCATAGTACAAGAATATACAAAATGGTGTGTACTGTGATTAATATTAATCACGTTTTCATAGCTTTTACTCTAAAAAAATCAACATTCAATTGCGTACATAGACCATTTAGAGCCAAGAATATATTCATTATTGAAGCCTCTTTAAAAAACAAAAATCTTTTGGCAATAAAGTTATCATTAAATTAAAAAGATGAGGGGAAGAAATGTTTTAGCAACAAGGTTACCAATAATTTGTTTTTAAAAGATATGATGAGACGGGGCATATCGTCACATCGTACTGCGTCTGGCAACATTCGAGAGAAAAAAAAAACGTTTTCAGCGTCCAAAGTTCACTCAATAATAATAAAAATGATAAGAAATTTTGAAAGATTTCAGTAAATTTCATTATGAATAAGTGAGGATAAATACAATATACCTGTTTAGGGTCCATTAGAACGTACGCCAGGATGTGTCCAATGTTTTTTGATATATAATCACCAACAAATATATATGATTAAAACAGTGACCACTGAAATGTGATCTCCTCTGACAGTGTGAAACACAGGTAAATCTATGGAAAGGGAAGCTTTCGGGCTGAAGCCTTCCCTTCCCCCCTCTCCCTAAATGGTAAAATGTAACCATGTTTTACGGCAAAAAATTATCTCTTAAAGTATTATTGTTCGTTTAATTACATTTAATAGAACTTCAAGAATCACATAAACATCTTTTCATATATACAGCTAGTATCTTTCTTTTTAGCATATCTTAGTAGCTTTCGGGCTGAAGCTTCCCCCAAAATGAAATCCTGGATCCGCTAGTGGTGTAAAATATGCATATTCATACATAAACTGCTGGAATAAATTATATGTTTTATGGTTGTAACAGAAATCAGGTGAGAGATCCTCTCAGATATTTGCCTATGAAGATAGAATGCTCTCTGTGTCTTGCTTGAAATTAGGTATCAGTCAGAGGTCATCCGAAGATGATCTCCAGTGATGAGAACTTAACATTACCATCTTCCCTTTTGTTTCAAAAACATGCATGTTCATAGATTGCAGCATCAATGTGGCTGTATAATAAACCATAAAAAAATATACTGTTATGTAATAATTCGTAGCATTTTTTTCTCTCTATACAATCAACTTCGACTGACAGCTCTTTCGTAATATCCTCTAGAATGCATTATTTTGTTTTTTATATGTATATAAGGATTCAGGATGATGCTCTATTCCCAAGATAGTACCCGTTTTCTTTCCCCGATCCTTTCCATATTCCAATAAAGAAAAAAAAAACTTTTATTTCATCAACCTGGAACACGTCTTGGAAAAGTTTTGTGAAACATAATATTTGTTGATTGCCGCATTTAATTAAAAAAGCAAATAATGAATCTGACTTCTGTAGATTTTATTAGCGTTTATAAAAAGTTGTTCCTTTAACCACTAATATCAGGATATTATTAGGATGATGAATATAGATTTAAGACACTAAGTTTTAATCTAAAAAATGCATCAAAAATCCGCCTCCTGATTTTGGCTTCCTTCGAGTTCCTGAAAGCAGCGCTGAGTTCAGGAAGTTGCTCTTTTCTTACTTCTTCTGCTTAATTATTGTGGAAAGAGTAGTTACTGAACGCTCTAAGCTGTCTTTTGAAGATATAATTGGAAGTTGTCACTGTATCACAATGGGTTCTGTTTTCTGTCTTATTCATTTGAGGCATTGATTGTTCAATTTTGACATTTGTTTAACATTATTAGAAAAATGGAGCCTCCTTTTTTTAATAAATCTAAAACTGGGGGAAACCCCTATGATATTAATGGTCAACATTTCAATCCAGATATGTATTTACAAAAATTATTCAAAGTATGTTGTTATAAGTTTTATAGTACTCTTTAATTATATTTTAAAGGATAATGCAAAAAAGAAAAATATACTTTTACTATTGAAACTTATAAATCAAAAACTGTCTTGTCCATGAAACCAAGTTTTATAGAATAGAATAAATTACTCTTGTGTCTAGTTCTTAGTTTTTTTAGTTATATATTGCCCAAAGACTTTGCCTTGTTGACAAATATAACATACAGAATTAAAATGTTCCTCACTAAAAGTCATTAAGTGACATTTCATAAAATTAAACTACCGAGAAGTTCAAATTTTCTCTCTGTGATATCAGGATTTAGTGCACTTGTTATAACTATACTCTTTTGTAAATTCAAAATAAGATTTTAAAAACATTTAATTCCAGTATTCTGTCATGATTTCCATCTTTGAAGTTGATCCTATAAATGTCCATTGGGACTTAGGTCTGGAGAGCAAGTAGGCCAATCCTGGTGGCAAATTTCTTGATTTTGAAAGAATATATTTTTGAGTCTAGTGTTGTCATCCCCAAAGATGAATTCTGGACCAATTGCTTCTGTCATTGGTTGTACTATTATTGCTAAGGCCCTGTCGAAATAACACTGAGCAGTCATAGTATTATTTTGTAACCCCACAAGCTCTGTTTGAGTGCCTATGGATATACTGCCCAATACTGTAATTGAGCCTCCTTCAAACAGAATTCATAAAACACTCCTTTCCTCGCTATGGAACTACCACCATTTTGTGTCATAGAGTTCCACAATTTGATTTCTATGTGTTTCCACTTGCTATAATACTCTAAAACATTCCTGGCCAACCCATATGGTTTCTCAGGCCACTTCGATGAAACCTAACATAACAGCGGGCCGCTCTTTAATATTATAGAAATATAAAATTTAAAGATCAATGCAAATAAAAACAGAAAAAAACCTTTATAGTTGTGCTGTGATACAATATTATTAAATTCTCAAGTCATAATTAATGAGATATTTGTTTATACTTCCATTCTCTTAACTTTTTTAATTCTTTTAGTTGTATTTGGCATTCATCAACATCAAATATAAAACTGAAATATTACCTTCTCACATGGAAGTTTACATTTATTAAATTTTTTTTATGCAAATAGATTGAAACAAAAATTAAAATATAAAATCGTGTGATGGCCCGTCTGTTGGTCAGTCATGTTCAAATGTCTATTTTATGAAAAAAAATTTGTTTTATTTATTTATTATTATTATTTTTGGATACATTAACATTAAAAGTGTTTAATGTTCAATTCAAACTATAAATCATAAATTTTTGCAACTAGTTTTGATTGAAATGATGTAAAATTAAAAATAATGTTTATTCTGGAAGAACAACTGAATGGGACTGTTCAATTTATTTTTAATTTAATTTGATTCTATATTTCTTAGGGATTTTAATTTTATTTAAACCAATTTTTCTTACTACTCAAAAGAAATATATTTAAAAAGCTAAACATTTAGCTTAAATGTTCACACTTCATACTTAAATTTTAGAATGCATACAAATCTATAAAATCTCTTTTATGTGACTGCTTATATATATATATATATATATATATATATATATATATATATATATATATATATATATATATTTATTTATTTATTTATTTAACACAAGACTATTCAGTAAGTTCTCTGAGTCTTGGACCCACGTATTCTGTGCATTTGAACTGTAGAGGGCAAAACATTTCTTGTTTGAAGCACATATTTTTACATGAGTACAATTATTTACTTTTTAATTAATAATATAACTTCGGAAGATCACTTCATACTGTTGGGATACTTCCAAAATAAATAAGAGGTTATTAAATATAAAACAAAATTATAAGAATATTGATATATTAAACTGAAATTTATAATTATTTTATCTTAAGATATGGGTCACATGGACAATCAGATCAAAAGACTCAGATAGATTAACATTATTCATACTAAAATTAAACACTGATTTTAAAATAAAGTCAAGTATGAATTGGCAAGCTAATCTTTTTTCTCTATACAATGTTTCTTCCTTTGTGGCACTGAATTAATTTGTGTTCAAACACTTTCCAAAGTTCTGCCAAACACAACTTGCAAAATGGTGACCCTTTCATCAACTTAACTCAAGCTCCCTGGGAGATCCTCTCTCTTGTAATTCCAAACAACCAGTAACTCTGCCAAATAACAACTGCTTGCCAAAACAAAAATCCTTTGTCCCTTCTCTTTGGGATTTTCCTTTTTGGGGAAATTACAGAGCAGCCATTTTCTTTTCCCTGAACTAGTGAAACTGTTTTTCAAATTTAAACATCCCCTGACAGCAGAATTAGATTAGCTTGCCGTTTAGCTGTTCAACATTAATTTACAAAACCATTTTTACCAACTTCCAATAAATGTGTATATTACAATATATATATATATAAATAAAAGGTAGCAATTATGATTTTTTTTACTTACTATATAAAAACTCTATTTATATATATTGTAACCTGTTATCGATTTCAAGGACCATTCTCTCAAAGAAGTCATGGAGCAGGAAGAAACAATAGTGAGAGATACTCAGACATTACATTCCGAAATGCAAACACTTGTGTATGAGAATTATAATAAATTCATCTCTGCTACTGATACTATCCGTAAGGTACATCGATTTTGTCATTTTAATTTTTTGGGAGTTAATTTCTACTTTTGAGTAAGGAAAGTAATGTTCTAAATTAATTTTGTCTATAACTATTATTAAAATAAAGTTAATGTGATAGTGTTAATATAGGGTGTTTTCATTAGTGATTTATTTATGATAAGATGTTATTTCTACAGTTTAAATCAAACAAATTAAAATAAGTTCACTTATTTGTTTATTTTATTGATTACTGACCAAACCCTCAACTATCTTCTGTTACTATTTTGTTTTATATTAGATGCTGTCTTTAGGATCCTTATTTGTTACAAACACCATACCAAACTGTGTGGATATTTTTCATCTTATTGTTTGATTAATAGGTCATATAAATTCTAACATTGCCTCACTCAATTTTTGTCTTTAATGATTTATGTTTTCGAGACTTTTTGGTTTTCAAGTCTGCTACAACTTATTAATTAAAGGACATTAGCAAAAAATTAAGCAGTTTCTTTTAGCGTCTTATAAAGTTATGAGAACTGAGTTAGGAGGTGTTAGAATTAACTTGACAATATAAAATATTTAATTATAGAAAGTCCCTTAAAATCATTTGTTTAATATTAATTGTTACAGAGGATTATATTACTAATGAGCCAATCCTTACCTTTTATTCAATATCCTATCATCTACATCATTTTATTCTGGTTTTAGATGAAAAGTGATTTCAAACAGATGGAAACAGAGATGGACTTATTGGGGCAAAATATGGATTCTATAACACTTTTTTCAGATCAAATTTCCCAAACATTGCAAGTAATGTTTTTCAAGAATTTATAGGAACCTTATTTAATTTATCATAGTGATTTAAATGAAACTTAGATTAAGCTATGTGTTCAAAGTGGTAAGAGTTGATTTATAAAGAAGAAATGAAATTTTTGCCAAAAAAGTCAACATTTAAATTTTAAAAAAGTAAGAAAAGCTGTTTTTTAACAGAGTAAATAAATGGTAAAATAGTGTGATAAAAAGTGAAAAAATTACTAATACTAAATATGTATAAAGAACCTTTAAACAAATTATTACCATAACAAGTGCTACCAATGAGTAGTATACTATATACATTTGAAAGATCTTGATCTTTTGTATTAATTTTATATTGTTTACTTATTAGTCCTGATGATGACCCAAATGTTTGTGTCAAAAGTCGCCTAAGTAAATAAACAAAATTATTTTGACTGTATATCCTGATATTTTTCATCCTTATTAAATAAAAATATCTTGTTGAAAAGATTTTTTATTGTCAAAATCTAATTGTGGGAGTATTTTGGTCCTTTTAAAACCTTAATCTATTATTAATTATATGTAAAAATTTATCAATTTAATGTTCTATATATTTTACTTGGTTGTAGGTTAACTTTTATATATTTTCTAATAAAAAAAAAAAAATTGCTTATAGAATTTGTTTAAATGTAGTTAGAATCTTATATAAACAAATTGAAAAGAAATAATAATTTTATCGATGCATTAATTATGCATTTGATTATGAAGTAGGTGCAGGATTATGTGAGGAAAAACTTTACTTTAGGAGAAGGGTATAGTTGTTACTACATAATTGATGTATACATTTTACTGTAAATGACACTTTTTAAAATTCAAACTCACTTGAAATATTTAAGAACGAATGATTCATCAAGCAAAATGAAAAATCATTCCTTGAAGGACAATCCTACCAAACAACAATGATGTATGAATAAATAGCATAGATCAGTTATCATGGAAGTATTAAACATAATTTTAAATTTGTTGTAATATTAAAAAGAGATTTTCCAAGGTCAATTTTTTTCCTTGAGATAACATTTATTTTATTATAGTTTCGTTGTCTATGTTTGTTCTTTATTGTAACCAATCACTTAGAATGTGAAGACAGACAAAAACCAATTTTAATAAATATTACTTTGCTAGTCTTATTGTTTTTAAATGTATAAATACAAAAATATATATACTCTATTTTTATTTGAATGCTCCTAGTAAATTAAAGTTTAAAAATTCAATTTTATATTGATTATTTATTATATTATATTATAATTATCATTTTAAAATATGAAATTGAGAGATATCTTAGTTTTTATTTGTATACATTTTTTGCTTTTAGGATACCAGGCAGCAGATATCCAAACTATCTGGAATTCATATTCTTCTGAAGAGATTACAATTTTTGTTCAAATTACCCAATAAACTAAAGAGCCTATTAGAAGAGGGAAATTATAAACAGGTGAATAACTGTACGAAATAATTTTCTAATGAAATTTAATAATTTCAAAAAGTTGATTGATGTTGGGGAAGGAGGGTGTAGTCGTCAGGAAACAAAAACACACAGATAACTAAAAAATTATTTTAACAGCATGCAAGGCTTGATGGATGGGTTTTGATTGAAAAGTTTTTTCATAATGGACAGCAGGAAGCCTGTGAGATTCATATTCAGATAACATTTATCCTATTTATTGTAGCTTAGTTCAATTATGTATACTGAGAATTCGGTTTTGAAAGAAGAATTACAGTTTTAATCTTTTTTTGTTAGTTTTTACAGAACTATTTTATTACATTTTTCATATCTTATTATTTCAATCATACTCGTACGATGATGTCTCCATAATCTAAACTCCTAGTAATCCTATATCCCTGATTATCTGAACAAGAAAGAAAAAAAGTTGAAGTAAACTGATAAGTGATTGAATGGAAATGGATCTGTTTCTCAGTACATATTTCTGGAATTGCTTCTTGTGGAAGTGTCGAAATCGTGTTGTGGTATCTCTAAACGGAAAACATTAAAACCAGGCGGTCATCTCGAAGTTGAGGAATGAATCTTCTTATATGTGGTTTTTACAGCAGAATTCATGAAGGTGTTCAATTTCTGGGGATATATTAGATGAAAAGTAAAAACTTTCTTTAATAATTTTTTTAAGAAGGATGAAAAAGCTGATTTTAATGTCAGTAAAGTTTGGCTTAATAATTTCAAAAGCATGTATGGGATGCATTTTTCATATTAATTTTTATTTCACTGAAAATCTTCTTTACGCCCATTTTATTTTTCATCAGTAATAGAAATGTCATTAAGGCATTTAATAATTGCTGGAGTGGACTTATAGATTCAACTTCCAATACCGAAGCATAATACTTTTAAAGAATTTGCAAGATCATAGGTTTTTTATTAGCAACAAAATCAGAGACTCAACGTACATTATATGATCATTTTCAGAAATTACTGTTTTGCTTACAATGTATTTATATTTAACTGATAATACATCTATTTTTGTTTCATTTTTTCAAAATTTTAAATCTGATCCATGAAATAATGTACAAGTATTCAGATTATCAAGACATTCCTTTATTTTGATATTCATGTATAATAATTTCCATATATTTCAATAAGTCTTTATATTGTTTGTTATCTTATTTCTTATTGGTTATCTTATTTTTCTTAGCCCTAATGTAGGTCTATAGCTTAAGCTGAGATGTCGCCACTCATTTAAATATTTTTTTCTTTTCTGAACACACTCTTCAACCAATTTCTTGAAATCATTTTTTGGATCAACTATACCTCCACTATTATAAATTAAATTAAATATATTGACTAGTTTTTTTTTTTAATTAAAAGTGTTTTCTGAATTTAATTTTGTGATTACAGGCCATCGATGACTATGTTCATACCCAACAAGTGCTAAACCATTATGCACATTTGGAGTCTTTCAAGGGAATTCAATACGACTGCTTAGAAATTGTAGAATTGCTCAAAGAAAAGTTATATTCTCAGTTTGAAAGCAATACGGTTTGTAATTATTATTATTTTTAAATATATTCAACTTCATTATATTTCTTTTAGTTTTTATTTTTATTTTTTTGTGGTGGGGAAGGTATTTATTATTATTATTATGGTTTGTGTTTTCTTTTTAAAAAAGCATTCAAAGAATTTTGTCACCCTTGTAAATCCTGATGCCCACTAGGTTCTCTTGAAAAATTTATTTTTGTTTTTTTCCATTCGTTTTTCTTTTTTCTTCCAGTCTCCATTCATAAAGTTGTTTGGAGAATCTATTCTTTTTGATTTTGTCAGTTAACCAAATTTTTCTTTTCTTTTTTCTTACGATACCAGAAGTGGTTTTATTTAAATGTTAAACATTAGTTAATTTAATTTAGATTCTCTTCTAATATTAATATCAGCAGCTATAGTTGTTTTTCCTTTTTCTATTTCTGAATTAGGCATCTACCAAAGATGTCGCCGAAGGTGTAGAATTGCTACTTCTGCTCAATGAACCAGCAGATACTCTTTATCAGAAGTATTTAGCTCATGCTTCATTAAGGTTAAAAAGCCATTTAGAGATTTTGGAAAATTTGCTTGGAGAACGGGTAAGTTAGCTGAAAACTTTCTATTATATTAACATTATTAATTAATTTGTTTCATCAATTGTTTTTGTTTTTTTAAAGGACCTTATTGAATTAGTCGACCTGGCCAACAATAACTTTTTTAGTGATTTTTGCTTAATTGTTACATCTTACAAAGAGATTTTTCTTTCCGAAAGCAAATCTTGGTGAGTTAAAATAAAAAGAAACATTTATTAATAATTATTTTGTTTTACTTAGGGCTACTAAATTTACTTTTTTAAATTTTTTTTTCTTTACTAATATACTGTTAACAATTATACAACTTAGTGAAATAATTATCCTTTTTGTTTTGTCATTAAAATTTTGTCAATAAATATATGCGAGAGGTTTAATTCAATATATAAGGTAATAAATTTGTAATTTTAGGGAAATAAGTGGGCAAAGTGAATTAGACGATTGGATAACTGAAAAGATGAATAGCATACTTACATTAATTGAGAGGAAAGCATATCAAGAAAACGATACCCCAATCCTTGTCAGAGGACTGGATCGCCTTTGTACTACCCTGTCAGCCACTGCATCTCTCTTTTCTTATGACTTCACTAGGAAAGTATTATTGGTTTTTATTTTATTTCTATAGATAATTATGTTGTTTTATTTTCTTATTGTTGTGTTACAAAGCAATATTGTTGTACAATGTTTATTGTATTACCAATTGTCTTTATTAATGTTACAGGAGAGTTACCGAAATAGGTGTGAAGTGTGGGGAGAGAGAATGTATGAAAAGAAAGGCGGACTTGAGTAGGCAGTTGGCAGACAGTTTAATTGAAGCTCGACATTCTCTATCTGACCAACCTAGTGAAGCTTCGGAATTACTTCAGACACTTGTCATTCAAACTATAGGTGCTGTTGAAACCCATGTTGCTGAACTACAGGTAATTATAATAGTTAATAATGAAATTGAAATTATTGAATTATTTAGAACTTTGAATTGTGAATTATTTTATTGGTTTTGGTTTTATAATTGATTCATATTCACAAGGTCCTAAAAAATGGAGAGATATCATTCACAAGCGATCGAACTTTGAGGGACTGCATTGAAGGATACCTGAGAGACATTTTAGTCATTGGCTTTTTAGAAGACATGATCAATCTTGCTCAGACTTTTACAACAACTACTATTTCTCTTCCAGCATTACTAGTGCTTGCTAAAATGTGTCTCGAGTTTTCTAATAGCCATATACATAATCTGGTTAGTATGAATATAAATATTTTTATGCAATTTATGAAGAAAAAAAATGTCTTCATTAAATTACTGGACAATGTTGCTTCAAAGTTTAAATTGTATGGGATAGACCATTTTACTGCAATCCCATAATAAAAATGTCGAAGAATTCAAATATTTGAATTTTTCCAGATAAAAAAAAAATTATGAGTGCAGCATGTATGTGCATACACAGACAACTAAAAAATTATTTTAACAGCATGCAAGGCTTGATGGATGGGTTTTCATTGAAAAGTTTTTTCATAATGGATAGCAGGAAGCCTGTGAGATTCATATTCAGAGAACATTTATCCTATTTATTGTAGCATAGTTCAATTATGTGTACTGAGAATTCGGTTTTGAAAGAAGGGTTACTGTTTTAATCTTTTTTTGTTAGTTCTACAGATTTACAGAACTATTTTATTACATTTTTCATATCTTATACTTTATATAACTCTTCTTTCAAAACCGAATTCTCAGTACTGCAATCCCATAATGAAAATGTGGAAGAATTCAAATATTTGAATTTTTCCAGATTAAAAAAAAATTATGAGTGCAGTATGTATGTGCATACCCAACATACATATTTACATAATACGTATGTTTTACTTGTAAAATGTTTGGAATTGAATGAAAGACCTCAATTTTTGTGTTTGTTATTATCAAAACCAATATTTTCCTTTAGTCAAAACTAGAAATACAAGAATATGGGCGAGTTTGCGAAAGTAGAAACTTTAAAATGTTTCAAGAATAATTTGGCCACCTTATAAAGAATTTTTATTAGTGCAATGTCTAATTACATGAAATGTTCTATGTATACTTATAACTAATTGTAATCCCCACTTCTAACACTGCAACAATTATTTCTTCAAAAGGCTTTTAATTTGAAGTTCCATTTGTTGAAATGATATTTACAAAAAAAAAAAAAACCAAAACAATTACAGATAGTAGTGTAGAGGATTCCTGTTGCATTGTTAATTTGTTTTCAACTGTATGCCAAATATGGCTGAGCTGGGTGGAAAAAAAAAACTATTTCATGTCTTACATGTCTTAAAGTCTTTGAAAATTAAAATAGTATTTAAAAATAATAAAAACTTAACTCCTTTATTTACACAGGAAGATAGGCTCAGTATTAGCGAATTCAAGATTTATTGTGTTTTTTTTTCAGGAAAATTACCTTAATAAGAGATTACTGCATTAAAAAATATTTTTGTAATATTCATTTTATTATGCTTGTATCAACAATATTGCTATTATCATGTTTGTTGGTTATATTTATAGATACTACACTTTTACAGTTACGCCTAGTTGGAAATACTACTCCTTCTGAAGAGGAAAGATTAACTAAAGAAATGCTTACTGTTGCTCAGAACCTAGGAAATCATTATGTGAAATTGCAAGGAAATATAATTGGTCAGGTATGATTGACTTTATCATTTAACTTAAATTTTATAATGAATGATCATTGTATAACTTATATATGTTGTTTACATCAAAAGTAGTATTTCTGGTGCTTGAAATTAATGCTTGAGTTATTATTATTTATTTTAAAGTAAATATAGTATTATTCTCTTTTTAATTTTTATTGAAGTTTCATTTTCAATTTGTTTTAAGCATTTATAATGGCTGAAGAATGTGGAACATTTAAAAGAATTGAATAAATATTATTCTTTTTTCTTTTGTGACATTCTAATATAAAAGGCTGAAAACTAAAATTATAAAATAAAATTTTGAAGTTAATTTGAAAAGTTATCACTAGGTACTTATTATTAGCATACTTGCTGTATTAATTTTTTTCCTTAGATGATTCGCAAATCAGTAGAAACTAGGGATTGGGCTCATAGTTCTGAACCTCGAAATGTCAGGGCTGTAATGAGAAGAATTTTAGAGGAACTGTCTGCTGCAGAGCCCATTGCATCTCTTTTTGAAGATGGGCCAGTACAACCTCCAGGTTCAGGATCTCGACATCATGCTCGGTAGTTTTACTTAAAATATATATTTTTTTTTTATTTTCTTATCATGTATATAATAAAAAATATGTTAAATGTACTACTAACTGTTTATTCCAATTCTAAGAATATAACTAGTAATGTTTTATTTTTATAAAAATGTTATATCATTTCATAGATCAGGTACTGGAGTTTCGTGGGCAGACCATGGCTACACACACAATCTGCATAAGTTGTTCTCGGACAAAATAGAAATCTTTACAGCTATTGAATTTACTAAAACTTCTATTCTCACTGGAATTATTAAAATTAGTTTGAAGGTAAATTATTAATAATTTATTACTATCCTAAATCTTGTACATTTAGATCTGAACTGATTTTTTAAAATATTTTATTATATAAAATTAATTATAAATGAGATAAAATATAATTATTAAATTTAGACAGAAATATCCTTAGAAAGTATCTATTACATTTAGATAAAGTATCTGATAGAAATAGAGATCTGGCAGAGTTTCTCCGTAAAGTTAGTTAGTTGGAGACACTGAAATCATTATTTTATTTTTTATATTGTAGGTTTAAAGTGAATAGGCTGTCACATTTGAATTGTACACCAACTTCAGGTAGACCTAAAAAGATGTTTACATTGTGTCTTAAGGCTGTATGATTAAAAGAAGGTGTGACACCCAAAATTTGGCAGATATGAAAGAAAAAAATCTGGTGTGTCCACTCACACGACTTTCCTACCTATTTCAGAAAAGTTTTTATATCTTTACATATATCCATCAATAAACAAAGAAAAGATTTGAGTGCGCTTTATTTGATAAACTAAAGCAATGTAAACCAGCTTAAGGTTGATCAGTGTAAAAATTTCAATTCCCTCTAATATTGCTGATCAAAAACTTTTTGCCATAGTCTAATTTTGTCACACAATAGTTTCTGTTAAAAGTAGAGGAAATAGTGAAGCTTGTGTAATGCGGGCAACAGATTTTCTTACTTTCACTTAGTTATATTTTTTCTCTCTCATTCATCCCTTTCTGACACCAGGATAGGAACCCGTAATCTTACATTGGAAATTGAATAGCTGTAACTTTGTTAATAGTTGTCCGAAATAAACAATTTTTATATAGTTTTGTAGGGAATTTCATTACCTTTAAAAAAAAAAACATGCTAAACAATGTTTTTTTCGGACTGTGGCCTCTGAAACGTATTGATCCGTCGAAAACTGCATATCGGAAATTTGACCTGATCACAATACTTTCCTTACATAGTATAGTTAGGAAAGTAATAAGCTAAAACATGTGTAGAAAATAGAATACACTGACTGTATCATCGCTAATACTGGCACGATTCCGATGATTTTTTTTTTTTTGTTTTGTTGGTAATTTAATTACCTTTCAAAAGTGTTATTATAAATTTTACCATAGAATATATACTTAGCAAGTTAGGCGGCAAAACATTTTTCTTTTCTTTATAACATTTTTTCCTTAATTTTCATGGGAATTTAGTGCAGGTACGAAAATTGAAAGGACAATTATTAGAACATTATAGGAAAGTTTCATCAAAATCGTTAGAGCCGTTTTTTCGCTACAGTCTATAGAAAAACGTTTTTCACATATTACGTAGCCACTATTGCCCAATTTGTGTCACAGGCATCAGTAGTCAAAACACTACAAAATAAATAAAGAAGCTACAAAATTAGTTCACTAGTTTCCGAGAAAATCTTGGCACAGATAGACAGACCAATTGCAAAAAATGTGTTTTTCAGACTCTATACATTTCAGGGGGCTCTGAAATGTATAGATCCGTCGAAGACCGCATAATGTAAATTTGACCGGATTGCAATACTTTCCTTACCTAGTATAGGTTGGAAAGTAAAAATATAGGATTAAATCTTTGGTGAAAATTTGACTTATCCTAAATAATTTTAATATTACTATTCTATTTATATAGAATAGAAAATAAAAGCAACTTAATTCTGTGATAAAGTTCCTTAAGAATAACAATCTATAGTTATCAAACATATACTAATAAAACAGATGAGTAATGGTATAACAATATGCAACAAAAAGGCAAAAAAATCTGTTTAGTAGTGATTTCTTTATGATTCATTGTAGTAAGAGCTGTAGGAAGTTGGAGAACACTTCTCTTGAAAAGAATTTATTAAATCTTTAATCATGTTGGAGACTGGAGGTGCTATTCTTGGTTCATAAACTATAATTCCTGTTATAGCATTTTTTTTTCTATTCCTAAATTTTTTTATAGTCAAATCATCTTTTAATTATTCTACTTTGTTAGCCATTTAACATAAAAGTTCCTGCCCCAAGAATGATTCTTTTGCATTTTGAAACTCCAAACTTCAGAATAATATTAAATTATAATTGAAAATTCACCAGGTGTTATCCTTTTTAATTGAGGTAGCTGAATCACAAAAATATTCTCACGCCTGATTCTTTGTTTTTCGCCATTTTGGTTGAACATCGTGTTTCTTCAGTTAGTTCAATCTTCTGCATTTGAAAAAATACTCAGTTGTAACAACCACTGTAGGATTTTTTAATGAGACTAAATTAATGTTTGAGTAGTCTTTTCAACTGTTTTCAACATTATAATATATAAAGTTTATACATATTACAAGTTATAACATATTTTTCAGACTCTCCTTGAATGTGTGAGATTAAGAACATTTAACAAGTACGGTTTTCAGCAAATACAAGTTGACATTCATTTTCTGCAGCTCCATTTGTGGAAATTTATTTCAGATGAAAAGTAAGTATATATTACTATATATATATATATATATATATATATATATATATATATATATATAACATATATTTATTAGCGTAGTAGCATGATTTTGCATTAAATTCAGAAAAAGAATGTTAAAGGATTTCATCATGTTAAATTATGTTGATTTATCAACTGGCATCTCAAATTTATTTTTTTATTTTACATTAAAAAAGAAAGTAGATCTAAATATATTATATAATTAGCATTCTGTAATTTTTTGTGTTTTACTGCGTACTTTATGGATGGAAAATGCATATGCTAATTCATAAATTATTTAATGTACAGTAGTATAGGACTTCAATGGAAGTTTTGGGTCAAACAAATAACAAAATTTTAAAAATTAATACAAGCAAAAAATTTTTATAAAAGTGAATTCATTTATGTTTATTAATTGTACACATATATCAGTGGCCTTATAACAAATACAGACATCTGTCACTAAATTAAAAATTGAGTGAGAAGCTAACTTAATAGAACTAAGCTAATCATCTAAATGATTCTTGTGACATCTTTGTTCCTATTTTAAATAATAGAATCAGTTACTATAAAAAATAAATGTAATGGTGTTAAATTTATCTTTAAGATTAAAGATCTATTCAGAAAAACTCTTGAAATGTAAGTTAATTTTAAAAGTGTACAATTGCCAAGGAGCAAATGGTATAGGTCAGGAGTCTCAAAACTTTTTGGCCATCAACCTCATTGCGATCTCCAGTAAGTCCCGTGGGGCGCATTGAGACACCCAATAAGTCCCGCGGGCCATGGATTCTGATGAAGGATATAAAGTTTGTTCTAAAATGACACTTCAGTTGTGATATGAGCTTTCTAAGAGAAACAACTCATACAATAAATGAAATGAATGAAAATGAAATGAAAAAAATGTTTTATTATTCTGGGACTGTTGTCCCTTAAGAACAAAATATGAATACAGATTATATGTCTGTGTGGCTACAATTAAATTGTATATTTACAATGAAAGTTGACTTACGATAAAAATACAGACAAGAGAAAAAAAAGAACAAGTAAATTGTACATATGTATGAGAAACTAAAATAACCTTAATAAATTGAGGTAGTCTCTGGTGGTGCTCAGATATTTCTCTAAGATATATTTCACAATCATTCGGATTGAGAAAGGAGTAGGTGCTTAAAGAGGAGAGGTTTAAACGAGGAAACTGATTGAGCGTGTCGAATATCAGCTGGGATGGAATTCCAGAGGGAGGCGGCTTGTATTACAAAGGATTTGTCAAACGCAGCAGTTCGGTGAGGAGGAGGATAGAGGTCGGAAGTACGAGATCTGATGGGACGGGATTGGATGGAATATTTGAATTGTAAGCTGTGAAAAATATAGGAGGGTCGATGGGTTCTAATAATTTGGTACAGAAAGGTGGCTAGAAAGTACTGACGGCGATAGGATGGGTAGAGCCATCTCAACTCAGTGTAATACTGGGTAATATGCGTATCCCTTGAGATTCCGAAAACAAATCGTAGTGCGCAATTCATTAGGCGTTTAAGTTTGGCCTCGGAATCTCCCGGGAGTCCACCGTACACCATACAGCCATAGTCGAAGTGGGGGAAAACAAGGGAGGAAACTAGGAGTTGACGGGACTTATATGGAAGGAGATATCGTAGACGATTGAACTGTTTTAGGGTGGAGATAGTGCGACGGGAAATTTGGGAGATGTGAGGTTTCCAGGATAGGGATTGATCGAAAGTAACACCTAGGTTTTTAACGGTGGTGTAGAATAAGATAGGTGAGTTGTTCAGGAAGAGATTGGGAGGATTTGAGGAGTGAAGGGGATCCGATCAAGATGGCTTTTGTCTTCTCGGCGTTCAGAGTGAGCCTATTGAGGTTTGCCCAAGCACTTATTCTGTCAATATCTTCCTGAAGTTTTTGAGTGGCATCTGAGATATCTGTCGGATTAAAGGAGAGGTAAATTTGAATGTCGTCGGCATACAGGTGGTAATGACAGTGCAGGATAGAGGATGGGAGGTCATTTATATAGATGGAGAAAAGGGTGGGGGATAAGGAAGAGCCTTGTGGGACGCCTCTGGTCAGAGGTAGAGATTCTGATGGTGGGTTATTAGGAATTACAACGTACTGGGAGCGACCGGTTAGGAAGGATTGGAACCAATTAAGGGAACTAGAAGAAAAAGAGATATTTTTAAGTTTGGTTAGGAGGATGTTGTGGTCTACTGAATCAAAAGCTTTGGAGAAGTCTAGGAGAATAAGGATGGTTAGTTTCTGCTGATCAATGGCTGTGTGAAGGTCTTGGGAAATTTTGATTAGGGCAGACTGAGTAGAATAACCAGGCCTGAAACCAGACTGGTAGGGATAATGTTGCAGTAACCTCATGTTTGAATGGTTTACTAAATTTTACATACATGTAATAGTTTTTTTTAATTTTACCAGGCTATGCCCGCAGGCCATCGATTGTTTGGAGACCCATCATGTATTATTTTAAAATACTAAGTATTTTGTGTTTTTAAAATACAGTCTATTTTAATTTTGAAGTATTTAAATTATCTACAAAAAAAGTATTTCAATTAAAAAACATTTCTACAATCACATTCTATAATGTTGGACAGATTACAGAAACTTATTTGGTATTTTAATTTTTTTTTTATATAATATAGAAAATTAAAAGCATATTTCATAAAGCCCAATAACCTTGTAATCGTAAGTTGCATTGAATGTGGATTGAAGGTTTATTTTTATTTTCTTGTTTATGATATGACTGAGATGTAAAATCCAAGTTTTCAACCTTGGTGCCCCCTCCCACCCCTCTCCTCCTTCCCCCGGATCAATTGTGAATATCCTAAAATCTCCTATATTTTCGGTTTTTCCCTATTTTATCTTCTAAAGTGGCATACTTTTCAAAACTTTTTTATGCATTTTTAAAATTAGATTAAATATGCTACAATTTAAGGCGAGAACAGGCTCAGTAAATCAAATAGTTTACCTCTGGAAGTTTTGGGGTAGTTTTCAAGACAGAGCTAGATGGAGATCTTGTGTTGGATTAATATAACTCAACGCTGAAAGGCACAAAGAGAAAATTAAAGAAGAGAACAAGAATGAACAATTAGGATCTCAAGAATACAGGTATAGGAATAGAAAAATGCATTCTGTACTTACAAGAAATGTGTAGAAAGCAATTAAGAGAGATAAAATTTTCTATCAATTTTCGGAACAAGAGAACCATCCTTCTTGGAAGTAATTTTTTGGAGAAGCTGTGTCAAAAATAAAAAAAACAGCTATGAACCATAGTGAGAGTATTAGTCTTAGCCTTTATTTGTCAATTCTATAGACAGAAAGGAAATAAATATTAACATTTATATTTGTTATGATAGTTTCATGTAACACTTTCTTTGTTTTTATAAATGTTATGTATTAGGCTGGTGTATTTGTGCTGTATTAATTAGCAGCTCATCACAGTTGAGCTGCCTTTCAATTTTATTTTAGTTATCTCTACTTCATTAATACTTGATAATTTGTAGGTTGCTCCAGTTCCTCTTGGGTGAAATACTTGCAAGTGCAGAGCAACGTTGCCTGGATCCAGTTCCTATTGTTGAAAGTATTGTAGATATTATTTGTGAAAAAGAAAAAAAAATTGAAAAAAATCAGAATATCAAATAATTTTTATATTTATTGTATTTATCCAAAATTTAAATATTATTTGTTTGGAAAAAATAAAAAAAATATTTTGTATTAACAGTTAATTTATTCATTACAAATCTATAAATTATTTAGTACTGTGTTGATCCTATTCAGTTTATTATTATTTTAAATTTATGGATTACACCCAGAAGGCTTTTATAAAAAATGTTATTGATCTATGGCCAAAATCCTGCTCATCAAAGGAGAAAATTCACAACTTTAATTTTATATTTAATAAACAAAGCAATAATAATAATAATGTACTGCAGCCACTCTGAACAAATGCTCTCAGAGACCTAAGCAGCTATTTCTTCAGTTAAATTTAGATATCTATTAGTAACTTTTAATGCGTTCATGGTAAACCAAGACATGGTCCAGAGGTCATTGGTAACTAAAAAATTTCAACCAACTCTGTAGTTCATCAAGGCTGATATAAGTAGCTCAACTATAGATTTAATGAAGGTAAGCGTCAGGAGAAATAATTAAGAAGTCAGCTAGAGTTAAGTATGTGAACCATACATTGTATTAAGAACAATCAAAATTTCTTATGATAGGAGTCAAGGAAGAGAAATGAGTAATTGATTTATTTTTCAAGGGTGAAATAAAGGCAGAGATGATAACAGTTAAAGAAATAAAGGATTTAGGTATTTGTTCCAGATTAAAAGTAAGTGAAATTCCCTCCACATATCCTATTAAAAATAATATCAGGAAATAAGGGATAATAGAATCGAGGTCATTAAAGACCATGTCAGAGGTCAGAGGCAAGAGAATTACCATCCGAACATTCTGGAATCTGGTTAAAAAACAGCCATTTAAAGTGAGGTGTCCTTATCTATAAAAAAATTATTAGCAAAGATTACACAGATGATGTCTACTAATTTCAACCATGATGACCAAAAAATATGAGTCCAAATGGTTTACCTTAAATAAATTCTGACCGACCCGTGAACCACTTATGTTTTAGTGATAGTCATAAATAAATGTACGAGTTTTGGTTAAAAATGTATAAAACTAGAAAGCTTTTAAAGTAAATTTAATTATGTTAAAATAAAATATCAGACAACTCAAATCAACAGACATGATGCATTTTCTAGATTATTATTTGTTTACAGTGGCATAAAACCTTTTCTGTCATTCATGTGGTACTTATACAAGTAAAAATACATAATTTTGATGGACTACAGGAAATAGAATTGAAACAACACTAAACAATGAACTATAATATAAAATATTTATTCTATCATAAATAAACTGAATATAATGTATAATCTATATAGTATGAAAATATTTCTAATTTAATGATGCTAAAAAGTTATTTTATACTGCATATAAAAGTAAATAATTTATGATACTAAGGCCCCCTCTATAAACATTACACAAAACTTAAATGATAAAATACAATTGTACAAAGTGTGTGAGCACAGAAATTTTAAGGCACTTTACTAAAATTTATACTTTCTGGGGTGCATTAAGGTCATTATTAAGTTGGGGTGTGTTCTGGACATCAACTGGACTAGGTACAGTTTGATCAAGAAAATGTTTTTGGTCACTTGGTTCAATGGTTTCATTTTTGGCATTAAGGTCAACCATAGATTTATTGCGCTCTCTCCTAAGAAGATCCATTTGACGTTCGACCATTTTCCTATAGGCTTCTTCATCAACTGCAAGTTGTGAATGTTTTCGCAACTCTTCTTGGAATGCTTCACTAGATTCAGCGAACTTTCTTTTCTTGGCTTCGAATTTTTCTTCAGTTTGTTGTAATTCTGCCTCCAACTTTTTTTGATGCATAGTAAGTGATTCAACTTGTCGATTCAAAACTTGCATCCTAGCTGTTGTAACGACAGAACGAACATCAGGTACAATAGAATCAAAGAAAATTTCATTGAGAAGACGATGGTTTCTTAAGTATCGAGCATAAGCAACATGCTTAACAGAGAGTCCATCGTCTTGGTCTTCTTCATCTTCAGCAGGCTGTATTTCAATCCTTCTTTCAGCTTTTGTCCCAGAATAACTATCCCGCTCTTCCGCAGCTTGTTGGGAAGTTTGTCCTTTATTTTTGGCTGCAATATAACTCAGGTAAGCTGGGGAATTGTGATAGGCTTTTAGTGTCTTCTCATATTCAAGTTTTTCAGCCTCATATTCATTGACATAATCTGTTTTCTCATCATCAGGTAAGTCTCTCCACATTTGGCCTATAATTTTTCCAATCTGCCATAATTTCAGTTCTGGGTTTCTGGCCTTAACTTGGTCCCATACTTTTCTAGAATATCTCATGTAAGGCATTAGTGGCTTTTCTGGGGGTTTGGGAGGTTTAAGAACTCCTGATCCTTTCCCTACCTTTTGAGGCTGAAAAGTTGGGTGCCCAGTAGGTGTTGTAATAAAAGGAGATTGATTGGCATCTTTTGCACTAGATCCTGCTCCAGTAGTTCTTAATCTTTCTTTCAGAATATTAAATGCCATTGGAGAACCAGCTGTCATGTACTGATTTTGAACAGGCATTCCACCCATACTTATCTGTTTATAATTTACTGGGAGCGACATTTCGAATTATATTTTACTAAGGTCCAATTTTTTCTTAAATAGCAGATTCACATTAACACAACAAACCAAAGTAAACATGCATACCATCCAAGAGAATAATCATTTACAAACATAGTTTACTAACATAAAAAAAGTAACCTCACAAACTTTAACCTCCGTCATGATTTAGCGGTCAAGATTCTTGAAACAGTGGAATAATCATATAAATAAAATAAATTAGAGAAGAGAATAAGTAATTATAATGAATCCTTCATTTCCCCTTTTATCATAATTAATTATGATATGCTATAACTGCGTTTTGAGTCAAGAAATTACATGCGTCGTATATACTGACGTGGTCACATTTGTTTTCCTCATCATGAATGTTCTAATATTATAAATTGTGTTTTTTTATATTTTTCGGGGTGCAAAATAAGCGGAAATGTTTTTTTATCGTTTATGTCATTATTTATTAAATCACACAGATGTTCAAATCAGCATTTGTCAAAATGGCGATTTCTTATCTCTGCTAGATTACTAGTATTGTACTTGTTTATTCAAGTACCTAGTTAACCTGTTTTAAATTGTGATATAACAACTTTTATGAGTAAAAAATTTCACCTCAATAATTTCAATGTTTTCCCTACAACCACATAATCAGGTAATTCGAATATCATGTTAATTGATGACTGTTAAAAATAATAATTGCGAAGTTGGTTCTTTTATTTTCATACTTAGTGTCCTTAATTTTTAATTATAACATGTTGAATTCTGTCATTTGATTTCAATCAATGTATTTATTTTCAATTTGTATCTCTAAAAATAAGGCGCTCAATCAATTCATAAAAGTAAATCACACTGACCATGTTTGTAATTTGTGTTGGTTAGCACTCAGTTAATCAAGATAAAGTGATCATGTTTATAGGAATAGTTATGATATTTCGATTTATTTTTAAAGTCTGTATATCAAGCAATTTTAATTCGTAGATGCTCTTATTATGTTGGTGTACTAATTGAATTATATTATGTATTGTCATTATTTAACTAATTATTGATTAATAATAAAGTTTTCTGAGCTAATACTTAAAACTTGTTTGTTTTAAACTAATCTTCTTGGTTTTCTGTCAATATTTTTTTATTTCTTGTTTTTCCTGGCCCTCATGACACTGAAATAATTGTTCTTATTTTGCATCTAATGAAAATTATTATTCCTGGGTTGGTTTTGTTACTTGACAAAATAAGTGCGGTTCTGTCATTTCTAACCCTCGCTGATTAGAACCTTGTTATAGATTACATCATCTTTTGGGAAGTAGGGAATCAATGGCTGTGATCTACATGATATAGCTTTACTAAAATTTTAATATTATTTCTAGAATTATGATACTTTTTGAGGAATGTTTAGAGTTGTATGTAGGCCATAGTTGTCCCTTTAGGCCTCCTGATGATATGAAAACTACTTAGGTATCCTTATCAGCAGATGTCAAACAAATGGTTTTCTATTTAAAAAGAAATAAATATGGCTTTATTCAACCACTACCAGATTTTATTTTTAGTATCTTGTTATTTTTCATGCATAAGGCTATGTTTAGACCATGTTTATTTGTATCAAATGAAACCATGTACATGAATTCTTTATGAAAATAAAAGGATAGTTACTTAATATCAGGATTTACCACTGTAATATTTATCATACAGTATAAAGTTTGATCTTACAGGTATTAGTTCTGAAACATTGCTCTGAGATAGGAACTTCAAGATCACCTTGAACTACCTTTTTATCCAAAAGTAGACTAAGATAGTCAATTCCCAACCTTTTATATTTCATAAATTACCTATCATATTTAGAGATGGAACTTTTCCTCACTTATTGAGAAGTTTAATTGCCTACTCGAATCTCTGCCACCTTCACTTCTCTAACACCTAAATTTTATATTATATATTTTCCAATTATTCAGAAGTATGTTTAAATATGCTCTTATATTTATATATATTTTTTTTTTTTTTTTTTTTTTGCACTTACATTTATTTATCCGCACCTGTCAATTATTATTGACAATCAGCAGATGTGCTGGCTTAGTAATGAGAGAAAAATAAAATAAAAAATAAATAAAAAATAAATAAATAAAACGGCTTGATAGGCATGAGGAATAGCAATACCCAGCGGTATCCCTTCCATGGCTTTTATTTACTAACATTATTTAAGCAGATCCCTCATCCAGACCCTTTTCAGTCGTCTTCTGGAGTTCTCCGGCATACTAGTTGTGGCCATTTCTTTTACCAGCTGGTTGGAGTGCCCGTTTAACATGTTATGAAATCGTTTGTAGTACGTTCGTATGTGTTCATTGACTGTCGGAACGTGTAGGTCGGTGTGCAAAGTGTGATTGTTTACGTACCATGGTGCTTGAGTGATTAGTCGTAGTATCTTAGACTGAAAAGTTTGAAGTTTATTTATGTGAGTTGGTTTTGCAATTCCGTATATTTGTAGTCCGTAAGTCCAAAGAGGTTTCAAAAGATACGTGTAAATACTTAGTTTCTGTCTTGCTTTTAATTTGGAAGGTCGTCTTAACAGTGTATGTAACAATTTTAGTCTTAGATTTAATGTGATTCGTTTTTTCTTCACATGTGGACCCCATGTCATTCTCCTATCGAACGTAAGGCCTAGGTATTGTACTCTGTCTGTTTGTGGAATCGGTATGTTGTCTAAGTATACAGGAGGGCATGTTTCTGGTCTTAGAGTAAATGTGATGTGCTGTGACTTTTGATAATTTATTTTAGTTTTCCAAAGTTTACACCAATCGAGTATAATTTGTAAGTGATGTTGTAAGTTAAGTGATGCCTCTGTAGGATTGTCGTGCCTGGTAATGATAGCAGTGTCGTCTGCGTAGGTTGCTGTAAGAGTGTGGATACTTTGAGGAATGTCGTGTGTGTATGTGATGTACAGTAGTGGGGCTAGGATTGATCCCTGAGGTACACCAGCTAAAACTGATCGAATTGAGGATAGACCTTGGCCATGTCGAACGGAGAAAAATCTATCTGAGAGAAAGGAATGGAGAATTAAGTAGTAAGTATGTGGAAGTATGGTCTTAAGCTTGAAGAGAAGCCCCTGATGCCATACTTTGTCGAACGCTTGGGCGCCATCCAGAAATACTCCGGTTGCATATAATTTCCGCTCTAGTGCTGTAGAGATGTAGTCAGTCACCCTGTGCAATTGTTGTGTTGTTGAATGTAATTTTCGAAACCCGAATTGATGGTCAGGAATAATCTGTCTGTCTGTTAGTATATGTAATAGTCGTGGGTACAATAGTTTTTCGAATAACTTAGAACATACTGGAAGTAAACTAATCGGTCGATATGAAGAAAGGTTGTTAGTGTCTTTGTCTGGCTTTTTAATCATGGTTATGTGTGAGTATTTCCATTGTATAGGAAATTTAGTGGTCCTGAGAATGCAATTGAAGATTGTGGTAAGAAACACTAGAGCTTTCCTTGGCATTTGCTGGAGCGCCTCAGCAGTTATCAAGTCATGACCAGGGGTTTTTCTTTTGGGCAATTGTCTAATTTCTTGTGCAACTTGTGATGGTGTGAAAGGAGGTGGTGGTAGTGTGAGCTGTAGCGGTATGTCTAAGTTATTATGTACAAAAATATCGTGTTCTGTATTAATTAAGTCTGTATGTGGTTTAAAAACAGTGGAAAGATGGTTAGCAAAGAGTTCAGATCTTTCCTCGTCCGAAACAGCCCAAGAGCCATCCTCTCTTCGTAGGGGTGCTGACACCTCACGATGCTTTAAAAGATTCCTTGTATGTCTCCATAAACTTCCATCGTCCGTCGAAAGGTTGTTAATAAAATTGTCGTAGTTTGTGCTTTTGAATTTTTGAATATGTCTTTTAAGTTCGTTGTTCAATCTGTTAAAAGTTTGTCGGTCTGAAGGAAGTCTGTTAGTCTGCCATACTTTACGTGCTCTTCTCTTTGCTCTAATCAAGTCCCTTATGTACATTGGATAATGGGGCAAGTTCGCTGCTTTTTGTGGCCTGGATGTTGATGAGGCCCATGCTGCATCTTGTATGCTTTTTGTGAATTTTTCAACAGCTTCTTCTAATTCCTCATGATTTTTAATTGAACCTGGAACGGAAAGATTGGTGTTCAAATAGTCTCTATATGCGTCCCAGTCCATGCAGCCTTTTATGAGCCTAGGTCTTTTTTGTGTTTCGGAAGGCTCATCGAAGAGAACCATGTGCACTGAGGAGTGATCAGAACAAAGATCGGAGGTTGCATTGACGGTAAATGGTACGGTTCTTAGTCCTTTTGTAATAAAGAAATCAAGTAAGTCGGGAGTTTTGCGTCTGGAGGTGGGCCAATAAGTTGGTGAATTTGGTGTTACAGTGTCTAATGAAAGTTCATGGAGGACAGACCAGAGATTTCTGCCTCTTGGAGTACACAACCTTGAGCCCCAGCCTTGATGCTTAGCATTATAGTCTCCACCTGCGATGAAGCATCTTCCGAGGCGTTTGAAGAACTCAGAAAACATCGTGGGTGTAAGCTTATACCTAGGGGGACAGTAAACTGAGGCAAATGTTATAGTGTAGTGTTTAGTGTATAGTGTTATTCCTGTCGATTGTATGTCGGGTGTAATGGGTAAGTCTATGGGATTGTGTTTCAGTGAATTTTTGACGAGTATAGCTGTTCCTCCATGTGCAGTTTTATCTGGGTGATCAGTTCTGTAAATTGTGTAATCCTGGATGTAAATTTTTGATCGGGATGTCAGGTGTGTTTCTGTAATGAGTGCTACGTCGATTCGTTTTTCGTGCAAGTATAAGTCGAGTTCAGTACTGTGCTGTTTCAGTCCGTTGGCATTCCATAGAAGAACTGACAAGGAGCCTACAGTTAAATTATTGTGGGCCATAATTTGGGCACAAGACCTGTGTAACCTGTGACAGTTGTTGAAGAAGAATGAAAAGGGGCTGGATTAGGTTATTTAATCCATTAATTATATTAAATAATTGAGAAGAGCCATTATCTACTGGAGGTATCAGTTGGGTAATGCCTCTCCTCGTACCTGTACATGTTTTCTGGTTCGAGGGTGCTGAACTAGATGATGTTTGGTTTTGTTGTTGCGGAGGTCCTGCGATGATCTGTGGTTCCCCTTGGTTGTGACGTTGCCGTATTGGAGGGAATTCATGCATGCCTGGAGGTCCCTGCGCTGGCTCTGCTACTGTGGAACGCTGAAGACGATTTCTTGCATTGCGCTGAAACCTAAGATCTTTCAGCGTCTGGCAGCCTCTGTAATTAGCGGGGTGCTGACCGGCACAGTTGGCGCATTTCGCGGGGGTGTCTCTCGTTTTCAAACATGAGCTGGTTTCATGATATTCGCCGCACTTTACGCATCGTGGTCGATGGTTGCAATAGGTTTTAGTCTGCCCATATTGCTGGCACCGAACACACTGAGGAATATTTCTCTTTTGACGCGGTTCCTCAATTTTAATATGTGAATAATAAAGAAATTCAATACTAAAAATTTCTTCTCTAAATGTCTCTTTTGTAATGTCCACAAAGAACATAGGAAGGGGTTTTTTGAATCTAGATATGACGTTAACTACATTGGTGGCTTCGTAACCCAATTTTTTAAATTCCTCTTTAATGATATCGATTGGTGTTCCATGGTGAAGATGTTTAACAACAATCCTTGGGCATTTGTCCTGTGGAAGTTGGTAGGTATGGAAGTCGGCGCCTTTATTTCGCAGGCTAGAATTTAATTTTCGATAAACGTCAGGATTTTCTGGGTACACAGTAACACCTTTCAATGTAGACTTAGTTTTAAACATATTAGGACCCGTTTCGTTTTCTAGAAATGAGATTAATGCATGGTAATTTTCAACACCGTTTATAAAAATTGGTGGAGTTTTATTGTTTTGAGGAGCTCTTCTAACTTCTTCTGTTTGTATATTAGTAATGTTGGTTAGAACCTGAAAACTGTTCGAGGTTGGGATAGATTCTGTCGGTCTTTTTTGAGCTCTTGGCTCGCTCGAATCTATCATAGGTCTTTTACGACCAATAACCAGTTCCCAGGAGCCGTCTTCATTGTTTATATCACTGTTTTTAAAGTTCATGTTACTTACCTCAGTTTGAGATGATTCCACCATTGTTGGCGGTGAAATCCGCTCAATCTTTGTTTGGTGTTTTGTCCTTAGCAATCTTGTCTTGATAAAACACTTTTGTTACACAAAAATTAGGTATTAACACTTAATTAACACTTTTTTGGAAGACAATACTAAATTAACCTTTCACCTTATTTAACATCAACAGCTGTTCTCTCATATTTATATATATGATTTACAAAATCATCATCCTACCAATGGTTCTTTATGGATGCAGAACGTGGCCTCTTACATTATGGGATGAGGAACGTCTTAAGGTTTTTGAAAATAAAGTATTGTATAGAATATTTTGACCGAAGAAGGATGAGTCAACAGGAATTTAGATTGTTACATAATACTGAATTGCCTGAACTTTTCCCGGTTGATATAATTCATGTGATTACATTGGGGAAAATTAAATGGGCATGTAAAATTGTTGGGCTTCACAATGAAAGAATCTCCTAAAAGTTAATGTTTGCTGTGCCAACTGGTAAACGTTCGAGGAGTAGACCAAGACGAAGGTGGGAGAATTGTGTTAAGGCTGATCTGGTGGGTTGGTTTTGGAGGGAGTAGAGGTGTGTAGTCAGAAATAGGTGGTGTCAACATCGAACCTTTGAGTTCATTAAACCTTTTATTATTATTATTTATATATATGTTGTGGAAAAAAACTTCCAATTTAATGTCTTTTTAAAATTAAACATTCTCAAATCGAAATTTCAAAGATCTCCTACATCATCAGGATTTCTATTCCTTAATGATTATTGCATATTGTTTTTTATTTTTTCCCAGATCTAAAACCCATATGAATAAAATATAATTCTAAATATTTTTATATGGATCATGAATCAAAAACGATATGTTATAATTATCAAAAATTGGAATCCTGTTAATGGAGGGGATCTCCAAAACGTCGATTTGAAAAGGACGTTATATTGAAAATGTTTTTTCATTACATATACATAGATATCTGAACTAAATTTTATTTTTGGTTTGTGCTATTTTTTATTAAATTGTTAAAGTCATGTATTTGTTGTTTACCAATTTTATAGATGTTAATGTTTGTTTATTCGTCTATTTATATCAGTTTTGTTGGTCAAAATTAATAATGTATTATACTTTTTTTCAGGCCTTATTTTATTTATCTCAGCTTAGGACACCTAAACGAAACCATTTATCTAAGAAAAGTGTTTGTAAGGTTGAAGCAAATTTGCATCCTGAGATCCTATGTTCTGAAAGTTTTGAAAAGGTGATTATTTATCATATTTTTGTTTCAAAAATTGTGTGAATGGATGTACACTCATATGTCCGTATTATGTTTATTTATATTTCTTTCAAAAGGTAATTGAACCTATATAATAAATTAAAATTGGAATATTTCTAGAAATTTTATTGATATACTGTATTCTCTCTCCCTTAGCTTACATGAGGAGGTTCTGGACGCAGGGCCACTAATTTCAATGAAACTATTTTTGGTGGTAAGGTTTCATTGAAATCGGTGAGCCCATGTCTGTAATCCTCCCCTTGTTAGCCAAATAAAACCAAAAGAGTATTGATTTATAAAAAAATCAAATTACTTGTAATGAAACAATAAATGTTAACTTTTATAATAATTTTTTTCTTTATTTATTTGTTTGATTATGAAAAATTTAACATTTGTTTCTTATTTACTTAAAAAATAATATTAACATATACATTTATTTATTTAAGTTATAATCTAGACCTACCAGTATTGTCTCAGCTAAATTTTTTTTCTTGCTAATCTTGACTGCTAATATGGCTGTTTCCTATACAAAAATTGTCTAACAACAAGAATATATTAGTTAATTTACTGTAATTTTCATTCCATTTCAATAATATCTGGGTTAAATATTCCAATAGGACAAAATTCTACAAATTAACAAGCAGTGAATTGTGATATCATTTATTTTTTTTAGTGAAATGTTAAAATAAAATTGTTGTTATCACTTTTATGGTAATAACAGCAAACCAAATTTGAAGCCTAGTGTTAGGTTTTAATTAAGTTGATGAAATACTGTATTAAGTTGTTTTTTTTTAGGCCTTAACTACAATAAAGGATTGTGGACTTCTTGACTCCTTTCCTACAGATCTACAGCCGAAGAAATGGATTTTAGGAGAGAAAGTAACGTTAGTAACAAAAGGTGGCATGCGTGTAAGAGCAGAATTCCTTGGTTCCAATCCTCATCATTCACCCTTTCAGCCAGGCATTTCTCCATTATCATTTAGTAATTTTTTTTTTTAATTGACCTTGGTATTTACTTAATAATTTGATCAATTGTTAATTAATCTATCTGAACCAGGAGTCCAAGTACGAAGTTTTAAGACTGAACGATCGGTAAATGCTGAACTAGAAAGAAGTCCGGGCCTGTTTCAACGCATTAGACAAGCAGTTGGCTTAGAGAGGCATCAAGTTAACAAACCCCATGAACCACAAGTCTCGGCTGATCATGATAATGATCCTGCCTATCTCAATAGTTAGTGCTCTATCCTCCATAAATATTAAACTAAGCTTTCTTCATTTAAAAAATAAAAATGTTCCTTTTAGTTTTATATCAATGCTTGCTGTTATATGGTGTTCATATATTTAGGAAGCCAACATGCAAACAGGTATTTAAATCCTGGAGTCAGTTTCTATCTCAATATTTCATGTGTTAAATTTAGCTTAAAAACGTACTCATAAATTCATTCCTAAAACATACTCTTATATTGCAAGTTCATTTCAAAAGTAGACATTGCCTCATCATATTTTTAACAATCCATCTCATTATATTAGTTAAGGCTGATTAGACTTTATAGGTGAAATATCTAATTTACAAATCAAACGATTAGAACTAATTTGCATTTAAAAATGACATTTGTAATCATGTTTATATCACAAACAGACAACTACAATTATTTTTGTGTCAAAAATAAAAATTTTCATTTTGAAATCGGACATCTGTATTTTCAAAGGTGGTGAATTTGAATAACTTTTAGAATTGTATAGATATAACATGTTTCCACCAATTACTAAACAATGTTTAAGTATTAATTATGAAAAAATTATCATAATTGTTTTCAATTGAAGCTTTATAACAAAAATAGGCTTTTCCTAAAATGAGATATCCACCTTTGATATGAGATCATTTCATTTATTATTTTCAAATGTAAACCTTGGTAATCAACCAAGAAAATAAAATCTCATTCAACTACCCTCAGCATAGAGTTTTTTCATTGCAAGATATGTTGAATGCAAAAATTAAATTTAAAAAATATATATCTGTTCGCCATATGCCGTAGTAGACAAAAAATATAAGGAGTATTGAAATAATTATACTTTAAATTATTATATTTTTTGTCGCATTGATATTTATAACAATTTGGGATTAATAAATCAGAATGCAATAATTAGCTTTCCCCTCCCTTTAAATATTTATAAGAGGCTCTGCCAAATAAATTATTTACTAAGATTATTTCTTAGTTACAAGCTTCAATTTTATTTGTTGTTATCTTCAAATATAAAAATAAGGTTTATTAAGAGCCTGTTTTAGAAATAAAAATGTTTAATGTTTCTTATTATAAAATTCTTATGGTGATTTTTGATGCAGATATATTGAAATCTGAAACGTCAACTGTTGAAGAGAAATTAAAGTTGGCTTTTGCTGAAGGCTATATGGCAGGTCAAGCTCAAGGCAAGAGTGGTGGAAGAAGATGGTTAAAAGTAGCCCAACAGTTGCTCACGATTGTCTTGGTTATATCAATTTTCATTTCACTTATGGGTAAGATTTTTTTTGTTTTCTTTTTTATTATTTTCTTAATTGTAAATGCAGACTAAAACATTTATATAATATGAATTAAATAAATGTGACGTATTATGGGAAGGATAATACCATCACTTACTTATACATAAATAGAGGAAATTATTTAAAGATGTGATAGCAGACCTCAAGATCTTCATAAAAGTTTATGTAAACAATGGTTCCATTTTCTGCAGAAAATTGGAAAATTTAAGTTTTGTGTTTTTTTAACTAAGTCTTGATGCTTTATAAATAAGAAGTAATAACTAACTCGTTGTTAAATCCATTTAAAGAGGACTGTTTAGCGGATAAACTAAGCTAAGATCTATTTAAAAAAAAAAAAGTGAATTCTCATTTTTTATTTATTTACCTCACTCTTGAAAAAACTTCCTTATTTTATAATCTTTTAACTCCATATTAATTATGTCGAGGTTTATTATCAAATAAGTTAAGATTTTCCAGAAATTATGGAATAAAACTAGGTGTTTCGATATCCTTTCACTTTCACTTGTTATGACTTCGGATGTATTTTAATAAACAAATGCACATTTTATAAAAAAAAAAACACAAAAAAAATCAATTTTTCTAATATCTAAAGAAATAGTAAAACTATATTTTTTATAATTAGTTGATCACTTATAAATCAAAACTGTACAATACGGATTAATTCAATCTGATACATTTTCATGAATACTTTTATGTAGCCAATTTTCTAGTTTCAAAATTTCTTAATAATGATTTCATTCTTTACAGCTAGTGCAAATGGAACTGTTTTCCGCATACAATTGGGTAATCAAGTAGAAGTCGATCCCGAAGAAATACATGTCACTTTTAATGATGTTAAAGGTGTAAGTTTTAGTTGTTTACTATCTCATAAATTATAATTATCAAATTTATGTTATATTAATTTTATTATTATTTGCTTCTAGGCTGATGAAGCCAAGCAAGAACTGAAGGATGTTGTGGAATTTTTGAAGAATCCAGAAAAATTTTCAGCTTTAGGAGGGAAACTTCCCAAAGGTTTGTGAGTCAAAAGGATTAGTTTCTATGTATTGGGTAAAGGCACCAATTATTTTTCCAATAACTAATTTTACTAATCTCCATATCTTTATGTTTATAAGTTTGTCATGCTAGACCATTTTTCCCTAGACTGTCATCTTTGAAAAGTTATTTTCTTTTCAGTTCATTCTTTTAAAGAAGCTAAATACTGTTGTTGTGCAGTTGGTAACTGGACAATCTCCTTTAAACATCCTGTTAATAAAATGGACAAGTATTTTTTCTTTTGTTTTGACCTGCAAGCACACTGTTAAGGCTTAGCTTCCTGCTGATGGGTGACAGTTCTTTGTAGATAAAGTAATGTGTGATACCACATGCTGCTGTTGCAACTGCAACAATGCTTTTCACAATGTTGTTAGCTGCAGATATTTGATTCTCTTTGTATATAATTTTTCTTTCTACAATTGGGGTCTTCTATTCTGATATTTGTTCCACATTTTACAAAAAATTGTCGGAGAAAACCCGAAAATTTAATAAACTAACCTGTAAAACTAAAAAGAACTCAAATTTTCATATCCATTTATCTACCAACCTATCCACCAGATTGACTACAGTCTAGGCATGTATCTCTAAATCTGCACAGGTAAATAGATTTGTAGCTACCTTTGTAAGAAGTTACCTTCAATATTATAAATTATGTGATAAATTAGGAGCTTAAATATTGGGAAAATTGATCATTTTAAAGATCGAACTATTGACCGAACATCAGTTAATATTATATTATTAGCCTGAAGTGATAAGGAATTAGTAATTTTCAAGAAATTTGTTAGCCAGTAGATATTCATGTTGAAAGGAATTTTTGGCTGATTAGTTTTTCTTTGAAAGGGTTCCAAATTTGAAATCCTATGTGACTCAAAAGTTATTCATTTAAAATTCTAATTCAATGATAGGTGTCTTTACCTTACATCATTATTTTATTATTTATATATTTTTATTATTGTTTATATTTTGTTTTTTTTCATTTATCACTACAGGTGAATTTTTCTTTTGTTTCGAGTTTTTAATTCAAGCATTCTAGTCATTTTAAGTTTTCACGGCAGTGAAAAATAACCAAAAAGGAAGATGCCAGATTTTAATAATGTTTTAATTTCATTTTAAACAAACATAAGTATTTACAAAATAAATGAATTTTTTTCCTAACTTTAAAACCACCCTACATATGTAATTATTGAAGGTTTTAAAGCATAATAAATATTAATTGACCATACAAATAATTCACATAATTTATTAGTCCGGTCAACAAATAGAATAGTTATTAAATCAAATTTTGAGGATGAGCAATCATTTTTTTTTTTTAGTCAATTTCAATGGTTCATTATTAAAAATAATAAATCAAAACATCCAAGAACTCCAGTTGGTTGAAGTATCTTACCTAATAAATGTCCTATTTTGATAATTTTCTTTTCTTTCCGTAGGAAATTTAGAAATCTTTCAAATTATCATGTCTTAAAAACTATTAGGTAAACTTCCTTCCATCATAACTATTTTTCTGGGAGATTTGCTTAGTTTTCAGCACTGGTGGAGAACTATACTCCTTAATCTACTGAACGGATGAGATATTAAGGAAGACATGGCATACCAATAAAAAATCCCCTTTGAGGAATAGTATATATAGCTAAAATCTAATGCAAATGATGAATTAATAATTTAATTAAGAAATGAATATTAGTGGATAAAATAAATAATATTATAGAATTGAAATAAGTATTAATGGTTATCAACACATTGATCAAGTGTAATGTAAATTGATTATTACAACATTGAATTTTAAAAGTAACGAGATCAACATAACAATTATAATAGTCAGTTTTTGGCTGTGGGGCTTTAAGAAATTATTACATTCCGCTTGATGCAAAGAGATGTGGGATAATGGTCATTTTATATTTAAAAGTACTGAAAAACATTGTCATCTATTAAATTATTTTAAAATAGTTTGGTCTCAAGCAGAACTTGAGTTGATAATTTTATTTAGGAGTGCTATTGGTTGGTCCTCCTGGAACTGGCAAAACACTTCTAGCTCGAGCCGTAGCTGGTGAAGCAGGTGTTCCCTTTTTTCACGCTGCCGGACCTGAATTCGATGAAATTCTAGTTGGACAAGGAGCAAGAAGGGTTCGTGACTTGTTTAGTAAGTGATTTTTTTTAAATTATTTACTGGCTGTTTTTCCTATATGCGGGATAATTTTTTTAATTGTTTGTTGTATTGGCATACTTAGGTAATTGCCAGTAACAAAAATAGAGACTGCTGCAGATTTTAAAAAAAAAATTATTAATTGAAATTCTTTCAAAGCTATTCTGAAAGATTTACATAAAGAAGCTCATAAAATGTATACACAAATGAATTTTTTTTTTTTAACTCAATAATTAATATTTTATTTGTTGTTTCATTTGCAGAGGCAGCAAAGGATCGGGCTCCTTGTGTTATTTTTATTGATGAGATTGATTCTGTAGGAGCTAAGAGGACAAATTCAGTTCTTCACCCATATGCCAACCAAACCATTAATCAGCTTCTTTCAGAAATGGATGGGTAAATAAAAACTTGTTTGCAGATTAAACAAACATTATTATATTATCGCATCAAGAAATGATAATCAGAGATCTAAATCAATTATTGTTGAATACATGACTTTTTTTTTCTCCTTCTTTTAAAAGGAATTTTAATGACAAATTGAAGTGTATGATATACTTAATATAACCAAATGTGTTACGCTCATGGATAACTAATGAAAAATTATCGAATAGCTTATTTTATGGTATATAATATATTTATTTGAAATCATATTGAGCTGATTAAAAGTATTACATTTTATGGTTACTTCACTATATAAATTGCACCTTATTTTGCCAATGAGCGATATGGTGGTATGGTGAGTTTCCTGATATAGATTCTAGGGCAACTTGCTTTTTTTCTTTTCTTATAAATTCCAAGGTAGCTTTGACACCCCTCACTTCCTGCTTTTCCTGGGTCTTCCTCAGATTTTTTTCCAGTTTAATAGTCAGCTTGTAAGGATAAGTTTTGAAGCTTGAATTTCATTCCTTTTGATTATATGAAAGAACATCAGCTGAGGTGAATTCATGATTTTATAATATTAGATTAAGTGGAATCTCTCTTATTGAGAAACTAATTTATTATTTCTAAATGAATACATATTTGAAATGTTATGTTAGACATACACCTGATTTCGCTTTAAAAATAACTCATATTCTCTGAATAACTTAGCTCGTTGTTAGCTACAAAAGTACTTTGTAAATTAGATAGTCATGTTTTTTTTTTCTCTGGTGTAATATTATCATTTTTTACTTATTGTTGAAAACATGAAAAATGTTTAAAAAGAGTTATCAGTCGGCATTCAAAAAATTTTCAAAAACCTACAGAAATTAAGGATTATAGATTTAAATTTTTTTTCAGAAATTTAATACCAACTAATATGTTGCCTTTAATAATATCATAGTGTCAGAAATTTTATTAAAACTATTAGCTGAATTCGGATTGAAGTTAATTTGTTGCTAAATACCAATCGTCTAATTATATCAATATTTCTATTATTATTATTTTACAAATACTAAATCAGAAAACTTTGTTGGATGATTATATAATTACAAATAGACCTATCTCAAGGACAGTTTAAATCATTTGGAAAAAATACAAAACATAATATTTATTTATTTACAGTAGTTCTTCAGCATTTGAGGATTTGGCATTCTCAAGTTTTGATTATTCGTGAAACCAGAATATAGTATTCTATATTCACTTAATGCTTATTTGAATATTCATGAATAAAAATAATTAATTCTGAGTGCCCAAGTTATGTATATGCACACTGATTTTCTGTCAAGCATAAATAAATTAATTTGATGAAAAATATATCTGAAAATAAAGTAGAAACATTAATCAAGCTATTTTAAAACAAATCAGTGTTGTTTGTCTTTGTTGGATATCATTAAACGTAACCTCTCTAAACACTGTGAGATTTGACTCTGCATTAACAAATTTGAGATTCATATTTTTCTAGAACCTGACCCTCGTTATTATTAATGGTTTATTGTATTCTACATTGTTTCTGTAAAAGGTTTATATAATGACCCATTTTCTAAGGTTATGAGACCCTACAATAGAAAAACCTAATAAATTGATTTTTTTCTCCATTTCAAATTTATTTATTTGTCCAGGGGTTTTCCTGAGCTTGGTGAGAGAGCGGGGGATTAATATAAAAGCCCTCTAGCCCTGGTAGGCTAACTCATTTGCTTATAATTTAAATTTTGGTTTATCAGATTGCGGAGCAAAGTGTGTTTGGCGAGTACACCCGTTATCCCACCCCTATGTTTCAATTAACTTAAATTAATAAATGTTAGGGAGCAGAGTAGCTCAGTGGGCTCTGATCTTCCAATGCTCAACGTCCTGGGTTGGAATCCCAGCTCGTGGCAGAAATATTTTTATTCTGTTTCATCAGCTGTGAAGCGACCCTGGAATCAAGAGACCCTCCTGAGGCACACACACCCTCTACAAAGTGGGTATCCTAAATTAATAATTAATTATAGGGTAAAACCTGGCGGTTGAGCGTGATCTTAGTCAAAAGACCTCCTTGCACAACCGTTTCGACTAAGAACAATATTTTCCCTAATTAATACTGAACCCAAGACCCTTCATGGGTTGTAGTGTTTTTTTTTTTTTTTTAAGAAATTTTCACACAAGCTTTTATTATATAGTCGATTATTAATTTTATTGCGATTTAAAATTAATCTTCAGTTCTTATCTCAACAAAGTTCTAAACTTAAAAATACAACTTATTTTTAAACCATCTTCATGTTAAAACAATAATATCTATAAAATTGACACCAAACAAGTTGAAGATCGTTCTGGTGCTGAATTTTTAGTATTGTTTTGTAAACTTTCCTAACTTATGTAAGGTTCTTGTCTTGTGTTATAGCAAAGTTTCCTCTGAAGATGACAATTCTTGGTAAGTGCTCAGTCAAGTAAATTTACATTGGAATAAATTTGATAGAAATTTATTATAATTTAAGCAAAAAAAAAATTAATAATATTCATACTAAAATCTTCAAATCGAGCAATACTTTTCAATTTATACATAATAAACTGCCTAAGTAAGAAGTAAATATTTTCTATGGAATGTTTTGTTTCATTAACATAGTATATAAACGGAAGATTCATTAATATAATAGATAACGGACCATGTTTGCAGTCGCTTTAGTTTTACTTATCCTCAAATAGTAGCGTTATGACTAAGACCACATATACTCTTGAGTATTCGCCCAGAATGAGCATGTGTTTGCCCTGTTTTGCACATATGAGTATGGGAGGCACCAAATTGAACCAGATGCCTTAGCCTGATCTGAGAGTTGTCAGTACTTCATAGTATGTCCTCGGTCCCTGCGCAGTATGTTCCCGCACGATCTTTTAGTACGAATGCTGAAGTGTATACACTGGTCTAGAATGTTTCAACATCTTTGAGTTTGAGATGTTCATCACAACGGTTTAATCCAATGAAAATGGGATTTTTTGGTAATATTTGGTAGAACAGGGTTACAGAAATAGTTACCTTCTATTCCTAGTTACTCTTATTTTAAAAAATTATTATTGTTCTTCCAAAATGAAACCACATAAACTATTCCAGAGGTTTTAAAAGCCTTTGTTTTGCATTCATTCAAGTTTATTTAACAATGATGTTGAAATAATTAAAAGAATTTTTTTTTCTTCAAATCAATGAGCATGTTTCTTCCAAGTTGATATTGTTGAATCTTTTTTTCATATAAATGTTAATAATGTATATTTCAACACAGCTAATTTAATCTTTCCTGTGATAATAACAAAGAATTTTTTTTAATAATGGAAATATTTTACTACTGAGGTTTGGTCAACATTTCTTTGGTAGTTCACAGAAGGTCAGGCTTTGGGTTTTACTTTGTATATGTATAAAATTCTGTTTATTTTATCCCATTTTTAATTAACATCAACTAAATGTTGTATTATTTTGCCTTGTACTTCACCTTTATGCTCTATAGTATTTACTGCCGTTAGAATCATATCATGTATGTGTTCTGAATTTATTAAATTTTAATGTATCTAATCATTAGCAACTACTTGATATTGTCCTCCAATGTCATATCTCAAAGATGTCTAATGCTGTACGTGAAACATAGAGAGAGTATTATAATCATATATAATTAATGATAATATCCCAAAATTCAAACTTGTATTGATCTACCTTATTTAATAATATCTGTAATGTTAAATGGTTATGTTTCCTAACAATATACATCTTAAAAAAATATGAAAATTATACTTTAAAAAAAATACTAGGCTTATTTATAAAAACACCTTTCAGCATGCAATTAGTATTAATTCCTGTTTCATCAAATCATAGAGTTTAAAATAAAAATTAAAAATCCTTACGTTTCGCATAAAGTCAATTGTTATTTTCACTGTGTAATTTTATAAGAAGATGAAATTGCCTTAAAAGTTTTTATTTATCAAGAAATGAACTAATGCAAAATTAGTAAGTCCATTTTCTACTTCCTACACTATACTTTTTTTTTTAATTACGATTTTATGGTTTTTATATTACAAATAAGTAATAGAAAAATTCTATACTTAGGTACTTACGCTAAACTTTTTGACCTTCAATATGTATATTTTTTACAACTTATTTCCTTCTGGGTACCTGGAAGTTCCTACAAAAAACTCTCGGATTCTAATTGTAGTATTACTACTTATTAACAGGAGATTAACCTCAACCATATTGTACATGATCAACTGGTCCTAAACTAGATGCTATGGCCGGTTAAAAGTGAAAGTTTAAACAAATAATCTGTTTTGGTTTTTTTATCTCCATCAAAAATGTTGCATAGATTGAAACGTTAGGCAAAAACAGTCTTATCTCATTTAAAGAAAATGTACATTTGAAAATTGTAGTTCCATGTTTGCTGCTATATCAACTAATGTATCTATTATTGTGTCATTAAATTGATATTTGCTTGCTGGTTTGATAAACGGCCATCTTTAAAATCTTCTGACAAAAGAATTTAAGTTGTACCCTTATACCATTTATATTTGTGATTTATTATGAACTCAAAATATTGAGGATTTCTTCATGTTTTAATTTATATTTTTTAAGGAAATATCAACATTTATATTTATTTTTACAACTTCATATTTTCTTTTTGACAATTTCACTTTTGTTATTTCATTCTTTTATTTTATTATGTTAATAACAATTTTTATTTGTTACAGTTTCCACCAGAATGATGGCGTTATTGTACTGGGTGCAACAAACAGGAGAGATGATCTTGACAAGGCACTCCTCCGACCAGGAAGATTCGATGTTGAAGTTATTGTATGAATTACATTTGTCCTTTTCCTTTCTATTCCTTTAAAAATATTATTGATCATTCTTATATTTAATATAGATAATAACATTTTTTAAACGTTTTGTTTGGCTTGAATGCACCATGATCTCATTGTGGTCTGTCTATTGTGCGTCCTAAGATGCCCTGTTTGAACATGCCAATATTGTTTTCCAAACTTTAATATACTATTATTATGTATAAATCAATTCACTTATGATCAACAATAATAGAGCTTAGGATTAATAATTCAGTCACAACTTAAATAATTAAATCATAAATTTATTAAATACACAGATAATTTGTTTCTCTGATTTAAGGTTCCTACTCCAGATCTTACGGGACGTAAAGAAATTCTATCTCTATATTTGAGTAGAGTATTAACTAAGAGCATTGATGTGGAACTACTTGCTCGAGGAACGACTGGTTTTACCGGAGCAGATCTTGAAAATATGGTAAACCAGGCTGCTCTGAAGGCTGCTATAGATGGTGCTGATTCCGTCACTATGAAATACCTGGAATCGGCTAGAGATAAAGTTTTGATGGGTAAGCATTTTTTTTTTCTTTATTTATCCCTCTCATCTTCAGAATGGAAATTATTTCCCCTTAATTTTCTTTATATCATTTTATATTAGCATTATTATAAAATATAGTACAATCCCATCTGCCATATCATTAGAACTAAATTTACATTCTGAATGTAACATATATAAAATAATGTATTAAAATGAAATAACTCAGTTTAATGATTGCCTGTATTTAATATATTCTACTGAATAAGTCCATTCATGCAACAAATGACAAACAGAGCTCAGAGTTTAATTAGTTGATAAATTTGAAGAAATTTGCTATCTGATAAAAATCTAGACTTTAGTCTGATAAAGCATGTTTGAATATTGTTCAAGTACGTACCATGTGGTTCGGATTCGATTCCTAAAACACTTGATTATTTAAATATACACAAGTATTTAGGCCTGTCTTTTGATTTCGTCCTGAAGTCTTTTTTATTTTAGACTCAAATGACTAGTCTCTTTATTCTGTATAAAAATTCATGGAGCTTGGCTGTCAGTTGTCAGTTCAGTTCAGAAAGTTATTTTCCTTTTCTGAAATAGTTGGACCATTATGGCTGTTTTACCAAGCAACAGTACAAGTGGTCTCAAAGTTTTTCTACTTATGCATAATTAACTGACCTTCTTAATTGATTTTGTTCGTTATACATCTTGGAAAAAATAAAAAGAAAGATAACGTTGAATTTTATGTTGTTTAGGTCCTGAAAGGAAATCTAGGATACCTGATGAAGAAACGAATGAAATAACTGCATATCATGAAGGTGGTCATACATTGGTTGCTTTTTACACTAAAGATAGCCCTCCACTACATAAAGTTACTATTATCCCAAGAGGTCCTACACTCGGCCATGTGAGTATTTATTTAACTAAAGATAATGAAAATAAGATTTGGAAATATTGTTTTAATCATCATGATAAAATCAATTTTTATTTACACATAGTAAATATTGTATCTTATTTTAATTTAATTACTGTTTTATTTTTAAAAGCAATGTTTATTATAACCAGTATTAATTAACTTGAGTTTCCTTTCCATTTTTATCTGTCTATCGTTCACACTAACTTTTATAAGTAAAAATATTATGGTTAAATTTTTATTAAATCTTAATACTGCTTTTGACACAATACTTCCATGAATTTGGTACCTTAGGAAAAGTGATTTGAAAACCCTGTGATATCTTGATCAGGCGATAGAGTTTGGCATTGTAGCTCTGAATGTGTTGTACTGGGGACCCTACACGGTCAATCGGCATTGCACTAATGATGTTCCGAATTGTCGTGTAAGGTAGTGAATGAAGTACTGATGGTGGTGCGCTGCGGATTTCCGAAACAACCGGAAATCAAAGGTTTATTCACGAGAAGTGGAGGGGAGACTTACTAAACATATGGGCTGGGGAGACCAACCATACTGCTGGATAGGTTAGGTTACCTAGGCCTCACAACCATTATAAATTTCTGATTTTCATTATATGTAAACAGTTAAATAATTTTTCATATCCCTTGTTTATAATTTTAAACCATCTTCAACTATTTCTTTTAAATAGTCAAGTGGGCAACAAATTTAAAAAAAAAAAATGAGGAAATTTACTTGAAAGTAAAAAAAAAACTTTAACGTTGTGTATATTTATCAGTTCTTTTCCCATTTTCCTCAACAAATTTATTATTTTCGCAATACCTTTCCTCAATTTTTGTAAGTAGTAGACTTATATTTTACTAACTTTTGTCAAAACGATTTTCTATGAGACTAACCTAACTACTAGATAGGTTAGTTTACCTAGGTCTCGTTATTAAGTAAATAATTTCATAAAAGTAAATAGTTGTTTATATCCCTAGTCTATATTGTTATTTACCATTTTCAACTATTTTTTCTTTAAATAGTCAAGTAGGCAATAAATTGGAGAGAAAAAAAAGTGGAAACTTCACAATTTACTTATAGAAAAAAAATCTTTAACTGTTGTGTTTATTTGCCATTAATTTTTCCATTTTTCTTAACAAATTGATTATTTTCGCAATACTTTTCATAGATTTTTGTATGTAGTTGACTTATATTTTGGACTAACTTTGGTCTAAACGATTTTCAGGCACTAGGAAGTAATTATTATATCTCCGTTTTTCTCTTGATGCCCAATATTATAAGGATATGCTTATTTTCTCCAAATAAGCATATCTATGCTGTTTCTTTGTTTACAACTGCGCTAAATTGGTCAGCAACGATCTAACCTAAATCAGCAACGATAAGTAATGATCAGCAATGATTGAACGTGTAAGGGTCTTCATGATCAAAGCGATAGCGGGCAATCTTGGAACTTCTTGTGACGTTCATTCATGAATTTACCGTGTAGGGTCTGCTTATATATCCAAAATTCATTCACATCATTCAAGGGTATAAACAAAAGGAGGCAGTTTGCAGCTAGAGGTTGGAGAAATTGGTTTTTATTTTTTTAATGAGCTGAAATATAACAAGCAACCTAACCTGTTCATAAATGCTCCAAAAATATCTTGTTTACATCTATTGCTATTTTATTTTTAACACAGTAGAAGGGGAATAACTGCCCCACCTTGCCTTCCCTGGGCAGGATCATGATATCACATGGTTTCATCAATTATTGTTTTTAATTTATTTTTATTATTTTAAATTATCTGATGGTTTGCTACACCAGAGGTCTCAAAACTTTTTGGCCCGCGGGCCACTTTGAGACCTCTACTAAGGCCATCCATGGCTTGTTATAAATAAAAACCTTGTTATATAAATCATACTCTGTTGTGAAAGTAGTTTTCTAAGAGAAACGAAGTCTTGCAAAAATGTTGTAGTAGCCTCATGTTTGAGCAATTTACTATACTTTATATTCATAAAATAGTTTTAAAATTTTACCAGATATTCGAAGAAACTTTCAGGGGCCAAAATGGATTTTCTATGGCCAGATCCGACCCATAGTTTGGTTTACACAAACACAATAAACCATGTTTACTTCACAATATAACTTTTACACTTCATGAGAAGCTAATCATTATTGTTATTTAATAAAAACAGATAATCAAATTTTGGTAATGAAGTGGATACAATGATTTTGCGTAACGATTAAATTAAAAATTACCATTGACTAAATTCAAGAAAGGAATTTTAAAAATCCACATTTCTCCTATTTATTTTCGTTTAACATGGCTATGCCCCTGAAACAGCCAAATTCCCCTTTTAATTACTGAAAACTGGTAAAGGATAAATTGTTTGGTTTCTCAGTCTTTTACCGTGCATTTAGGGTGTTATACAATCATGAACTAATCTCTATTTATTTTCTAATTATTAATTTATTAATTTCCTATTGTAAATAACCTTTTAGACTGCCTACATGCCAGAAAAAGAAAGTTATCACGTAACTAAAAAGCAATTACTAGCAATGATGGATACCATGATGGGAGGACGAGCTGCCGAAGAGCTAATCTTTGGTGCGGATAAAATTACTTCAGGAGCTGCTAATGATCTGAAGGTAACCATTTAAATCTTAATTATTATTTTTTTATATTTCTTTTTTTTAAAGATTAATTCTTCATAGTAAAATTTTATTTCTCTTTAGCAAGCGACTGCTATTGCAACCGCCATGGTTAAAGAATGGGGCATGTCAGAATCATTAGGACTCAGAACTCATGATTCGAATAGCAAATCGTTAATCAATATTAATGAACTTTCACCTCATACAGTAGATCAAATTGACTCAGAAATAAGAAAAATTATGCAGGTATTTATACTTATTATACTACGAACTATAATCCAATATGATAGCTTACATAAAATAGTTATATATTTTTTTTCTTATTAATTATGTTTATTTTAACATTGGAAGTTATATAATACGTATAAAAGTAAATGTTGACTGAGCTTTGTTGATCACCATTGTGTCAAATATAGTCTAACCTTTGTGTTTCAAACTCCCATTTATTGAAAATCTGTAAATATTAGGGGGGGGAAAAAAACACCTGTACTGCTACAACCATGAAGGGTCATTGGTTCAGTACTGTTTCAAGGCCAACGGTTGTGCAATGAGGGGATCGGGCCAGGATCACGCTCAACCATCAGGTTTCCCCTCTTAATTAATTATTTAATTAAGGGTACCCGCTTTGTAGAGGCTGGGTGTGCCCCAGGAGGATCTCTCGAACCCGAGGTCACCCCACGGCCAATGAAACAGAATAAATAATATTTCTGCCATGAGTCGGGATTCGAACCTGGGACCTTTAGCATTGGAAGCTCAATGCCCTACCACTGTTTAGATTTTTTTTAAGGAAAAACATCCTATATATCAAATACAATTTCTATTCAAGTTTTTTTTTTTACAAAACCAATTAACTCCATAAAATAAAAAGTGCAGGAAAGTAATAAAATAATATTAATTGGTTTTCTAAAATATCTTTAGATGAGACAGCATTAAAAAAATTATCATTCTTTACTAATTCTGTTTTCTGTCTTTAACATTTTATTCCTCAACAATTCAAAAAGTAATATTCTGTTCATTTGATTGACTTCTGAACTAATTTTTTATTCTCAATTAAACAAAAAATTATCTTATTGTATTAGTTAGCCTAATCAATAGGTAAATTTATTAAGAATATTTAAAACCAAAACTTTATGAAATGCCTAAGGCACTCAAATTTGAAAAAAAAAAAAAATCGTATGGCAACTTGTACAGAAAAAATTAAAAAAAAAAGAACATAATGTTATTGTCATCAAAAGTATTTCTTACTTTAGATTCGGAAGAATTAGTAATAATTAAATAAGAAAAAAAAACTTTTTTTTGCTGCGACAAACAAGGATGAAAAATTTCAAACTTATATATTCTCAAATTTTTTTTCAAGGAACTACCAGATATATAGAGATTTCACTCAATTGATTAATTCAGCTATTCAGAATGTATACTGTGAATGATAAAAGGACATATTTCTGTAATATCAGCCTTTTCTTCTGTCATAAATCAATAGATTAGTCAAATATGTATTAACTTAAACTTTATTTCCATAGGATTCTTATGAGCGAGCTAAATCAATTTTGAAAACCCATCAGAAAGAGCATAAGTTACTTGCAGAAGCCTTATTGAAGTATGAAACTTTAGCAGCAGAGGACATCAAGGCTATTCTTAGTGGAAATGGTGGAGATGGCAGGTTCAAACAATGATACATTAGAGAGTCTCAAAATTATTGAATCACTTTCCAATCTTTTTTAACGCTTTGTTATTTTAGCAAGAGATTAATTCACTGCATAATTGTACTTAAAACTTGAAGTTTTGTGATTAAATTGTAAGAACATGATTTCTTTACAGAGATTTGAAAAAGTAACATTCAGAGTTTGTGAATGCTGTTTGTTTACATAGTTTACATAACATTCCTTTGTAGTGTGGTGTTACTAGGTGTGTTTTTTTTCTTAATTCATTTGACTGGAATTTCATCCTTCATACGTTTATGTATGAATGAAAGTGACATAACCAATGCTCCACATATTTGTATTTTAACATAATTTATTGAGAAAAAAAATTATAACTCTTGTTTTATTTTTATTTGTAAATAAAAGAAAACTTACATGTAAAAATATACATAAAATTAAAAATATTTCTTATGTAATTTCCTGGACACAATTAGGTGTTTTTAAAACTTTTTCAAATCCTGTAAAGGTAGTGTAAGCTTTGTCCAGCTGATAGATCTTCCTTTTAAGCAGATTTTTAATTAAGGTAAATTCAATTGTCAAATTTTGTTGACCTTGTGTAATGACTAATATCTAGACAGCTATTAAAAACTTTGGAGAATGTGAGATATATGCTCTGTCAAATAATCTATTTTTGTCTAAAGATTAGTAGTCTTATCACAACAAAGTGTTTGTTAAAAATTAAATTTATTAAACTAATATTTAATATAATACTTAATATTTATTAGTTAACTCACCTCATCATTCTTGTATCATTTGATAATTACTAGTTTTTAGTTAAGTAACTCAAGTCATTTTCATTTGGATATTCTTTTGAAACCAAATTTCCTATTTTCATATCATCTTAATTTTAGTTAGTGTATAGGATAACTTATCAGCCCCTACTTATTTCAGGCCATTTTATCTGTTTTGTAATATTAAATAGATAGGTTATTTATTTATTTTAATAAATTGTAAAAATTTTTTCAATAATGCCTACTCTGATATAAGGACGTAACCATATGTTTAGGTATGTAGTGCTACATTGCACCCATCTTCAATATAATCGATGAAGACAGGTACTTTGTCCCAACTTTGAATATCCTCAATTATACCTAAGTACATGGTGTTTTTGATTTCTATTTATAAACTGCTTTCCTTATTATAAGATATTATTTGTGTATTATCGAGTTAACGATAACATGCTTGTCTTAAGTGTGTAATTTTTGTTTTATATAATTACAAAAATGGAAAGAACAGAGCTTGTTACTGAATGTTGTTATTCTTTTTTAACACTTGAAACTTGTATAAATGAATTTTTCCGTCTGAAGGCATCAACATGTTATTTCATTATTAACCAATCAATCTTATTAATTTAGAAATCCCCTTCATTATCATTACCATTGCTGAACCTATCATTAGTCACTTGTCATCCATGATCCATTTTAAATTTTTTTCATGAAGATCTCTTAGAAATTGAAAATTTTAAAATATTGATTATGATCTGTATAAGCTGTGTGTTGTGTATTTTAGATGAGTCAATCTTCAAAATGGTGTTAATTTTTCCAGACTTATGTTTTCTTCAGCATGAGCCAAATTTTCTAAATTCAAAGTTCTGACTCCTCCTAGGTTGCTTAAGATGAGTATGCCCTTGAAGAGAATATCACAATCTCATAAAAATGTTTCTTCCTACATTTCAGCCATTGTTTAGTACTTTAGTAATTCATAATCCTTGTTAAAATGCCGCACAAGCTGAGTGCAGAAGGGTTATTATTTATGAAAAGGTGAAAAATTATTTCCGAAAAATTTTTATATATATATAAAAATATATATATTTTATATATATATATATAACTGCCAGTATATAATGTTAAATCATACAAAGAACAAATATAAACTTTCACTTGTTCAAAATTAACTCTGACTTAACATTAACATTCAACCAGCAGAATTGAATATATCCATCAGATAATAGAATGTATTTTTGTTATCAACTTAAAATCTATCAAACTAATTAACTTAAAATCTATCAAAGGCAGTCTAGCACCTAAATTGGAATAAAACATAACAATGACAGGAGAGCATCAAAATAAATTGAGGGCTACATCTTTTAGGTTTAATAATAACAAATAAGATTATACAAAACAAAATTGAATTTTATTAGTTTTTTTGTTTTTTTACAAAATTTTAAAGTGACATTCTTAAGAAAAGTATAGCCACCTATGTGTATAAAAATAAATCGCCTCAAAATCCCCTGAAACAAAACAAACAAACAAATTAGAAACGCTTGAAATTATACGTAATTTATTAGTTGTTTATATTAATTTGTCAATGATGATGAATAATGCTTGGCTGAATGGATAATCAAGATATTGATTCTTTGAGGGTTCAGCCCAAGTCCTCACTAATACTAGATCAGATAGATTGTTTGTAAGATCAAAATAGCATTAGCAAAGTTTACTAAAGCCCGCTCCAACCGTGATGCTTTGGCACGAAATACTCAACCAAAAGAGAATAAAATAAAATCAATTAAAATTAAATATATTAATATGATTGTTATATAATGATTCGCTTTTTTTCTGCAAACAAAAAAATCACAAAAACTGAAGATATAAGATTCACCAAAAGATCTGAATATCATACAGTTTTCTTCTCGACTATAGTCCCACAGCATACTTAAGAATGTGTGCTTCACTAATTAAGACAAGGCTCAAATTTATGTTTCAATGTCTTACTGAATTAAACTTACTTCCACTTGCTCTCCATTGAAGAAGTTGGACAAATAAAGTGTCATTTTAATAAATCAATACCTAAGCATCATCTCACATTAACATTAGTGTGGTGAGTGCTCAAGTAGATAGAACATTTTCCTCCATTAAAAGACATCACAACAATTTCAAAATAAATAAATAGAAGCCAGGAATCAATATTGATAGTTATTTTATTTAGTATAGTTATTATTTTTTGTGTTTTAATTCTAGAATTTATATCTAAGAGTAATACTGAATCCAAGCCTGGATGCGGGATGTTCGTCCCAGGAGGAACTAAGAGTTCCTTGATTGAGGACTAAGAGTTAATCAAAAATATATATGTATATATCAGCTTCTAGTTGATAAATTTTAGTAGCAGAAATTTTTTAAAATTTTACTTGTCTATCATAAAAAATGATGAAACATCAGCATTCTTTGGGAAATTTTTTTATTTTTGCCCAATCAGATGATAGATTTATGGCTATACAGTCCAGCAATCACTAATGTTTAATGTATGCTGTGCCAAATGGAAAGTGTACGATGGGTATACGAAAGCAAAGATGGGATTGTGTTAAGGCTTGTGGGGATACTGCCGGTATGTAGGCAGCGATTGGTGGTATCGGTATCGAACTTTCTGTTTTAATAAGCCAAAGCAACTCTTTATTTTTTATCATGTCTATTTATTTATCTTTCTCTATTTAAACATGATGTGATAGACAGCGTAATTGGGATAGATTAGAGGGACAGGGTACGCAATTATATCTCGCTCCAGGTGCCAAAAACCCACGAGGCGGCCCTGTCCATATGAAATCTAGTATTACTCTAACTATTCTTCCAAAGCACATCTCAAAGCTCTATCACATGACAGGAATTAGCAAGTTAATTACATGAAAATGAAATTAACTATAGCAGTCAGAAAATTAAAATAATGGTTTCTAAATATAATAATAAGCCTACATGTAATAACTATTTTGAAGAATAACAAAACAATACAAATGCTCATTCTGAGTTACACTTCTTATATCAAATGTTTTCCTTACTTTCTTCCTAAAATAGAAATAAATGGCAATGCTAGAGCATCGAACTTTAATATTCTCAGTGATACTTATCTTCCCAAATTGGATATGAGCACACTATAGTTACTAATAATAAATGATGATAATGGGGTTGTTATTCTTGAAATAATTATTCATAAAAAATAAATTTTAAGGAAGTGAAACTTACTTAGAATGTTTGACGATTTCCCAATTACCTTCTACTTCTAATTCAGGTGATATTTCAACACCTTCTTCGGTGACTGTTGCAATTCGGAACTATAAAAGAAAATAATAAGTGAGTATTTATATAAATAAAATAGTTTGAAATACTAAAACATTCTTTTAAAAGCTGAAAAAGATTCATTGCCAATGAATCGGAACGTTAATATATTATTTGAAAAGTTGATAAGTCACACTCACTCCTACCTTACAAGAGGTAAGTAGAACAAGTTAAGATTTATGTTTGTATTTAACTGATTCCTGGTAAGATTCCCTCACAACTAAACATATTTTACTTAAAAGCCACTGATTAAACCATCAGTAGGGTCAATGCCATCTCTGGTATTTATTATATAGATTATGAAAAAAAAATATAAATTATTTAAACAAATAAAAATAATACAGAAATAGAAAATAAATAAACATTACTGCCTAGATCAAAATGCAGCCTCTAATGATAAAAAAGTTCACTGCCTACTGATAGCATTTAATGTTTGTGTTTTTAGATTGCATAAAATAAAACAATTATATTAAAGCAGAATAACTTTAATATAATTATTTATTTACGTTAAATAAATATTTTAAAGTATTAAAAAAAAAATTAAATAAATACAATAAAAAAGTATTAACTCCAGTAGTTTCAGTCCACAGCCTGCCGAAAAAAAAAATTAAATAAATACAATAAAGCCAGTAGAAATTGCTTAGCACTGTAGTAGAGGTAAAGCTCATCACTCAAGAAGCGAAAAGGTTCAATTTTATTTTTATTAAAACAATTTGTAAATGACCAGGGCCCAAAGTCATAAATATTTACCTTAGGAAGTGATTGTGTATCTCTGTAGTACAAGATTTCCATACATTTCTGAAGGGCAGCATGGGCCTCTTGTTTAGTCAAATTTCCTTTACCGCGTTCAAACACATCCCTCAAGAGCGGAGTAGCGAGATATCCACCCATACCAGTGGCTACACAACTATCTTCATAACTCATACCTAGTTTGTCCACTATTCCCAGGAAGCTGCATAAAGAAATTAAAATTGTAACTTGGTATATATTGCCAAGGTTTCTAAAGTCATACATACTATATCAACCTACTTTACTGTTTTCACAATAAAAAAATACCACTGTTATATTTATTCTCTCTTAACAGGAAAAAGAAAAAACCATTATCAATGCAGCAAGATCTTGGATACTTGGTAAGGAAGTACTGACAACTATCAGCAGTGGACTTTAGCAATAGCAGCATTTTCAAAAAAAAAATTATATCAGAGACAACGGAAGTTGAAAATTGAGAAAAATTGTTTTTGGATCAGGAGACAAAACAAAAAATTTCAGTTTTAAAGAACATAACTTCCAATTGCTTCACTAATCTTTGCCTGTTTTTTTTTATTCATGTGATTAAATAAATATTAGATCTATGGTAGCCCAAATATGCTGCTAACACCAGAAATAAATTTATTTATAAAAAAAAAATTGAAATGAGATAAACAACAGTTTTAATGTTTCTAAAATTACATACTTGGGTAATGTGTAAAATGCCCTTATATATTCCAATTAATCCTAAAGTTCATGCATAAGTTTTGCTATAAGGCTGGCAATTTTAATAAAAGATAGAATACTTAAAATAATACAATGAAGAGTAAACTTCCTCTAATTCAGCAGATGCCACATTACTAAATGTTCTGAATAACAAGATGAATATCAAGAAAAATATATATATATATTTTTTTTTATTTAATATTATACATGCAGATTCGTTTGAAAGCATCTAGCAAATGTGCTGTCATTTGGTTTGTCTGCTATTTCTTGAAAATATATTCACATTGTGAGGAGACCCCCAAGGCCACTGCTGTTTTAGTCTTCTTTGAGGCTCCCCTGGTAATAAGGAGGAAGAAAGAGAGAGGACAAGAGGAATAGGGTGATTAATAGTTGAAGTGAGGATTGTGGTGTATTTGTTATGTATGTAGGTTTATGCTGTTGGAATGTTCATGTCGCTGTGTATGGTGTGATTTGAAATATACCAGGGTACATTTATGAGTTTTCAAAGTATTTTGGGTTGCGCAGTTTGTATTTTGTTTATGTGAACATGTTTTGCAGAACCCTAAAGTTCTGTTAAATATGTCCAACTATAGGTCGTAGTATGGTGGTATAGATGAGTCGCTTATTTTGTAAGTTGAGAGATTTGTACTCCAAAAGATGTGACAGTTGTTTGTATCGCCTGGTCAGTTCTTGTTTTGTTTTTTTCAAGTTGGTATGTTCCAAGTGAGTTTTTTGTATAGTCCGAGAAATCGTACATGAGTTTTTGAGGAAACTGGCTTGTATATTGACACAGTAGGACACAAAGTCTTCCTTAGGGAGAAGCTAACATGAATTAAATGAAAGAAAATTTCCTAATAATGAAAAAAAATATCTGACTGATAGTGTGGGGAGTGATATTTTAATTCAGATAGGTGATACATTTCAGTTCCATCAGTTAGAACGCTTAACGCTTGAATTTAAAAACTTCACAAGGCAATACTGTAAAAGTGTTTCCCCACTTCGATGAGTGAGCACCAGATTTCAAAATTACAATATAGGAAGAACTTCAAGAATGGCAGAATGTATCTGAGAATAAGTGGAGAATGAAGGAGTGTACTGTAACAGATGAAGGTAACTAAACCGTCTGGTAAGGCTCTAATCTCAACTAAAAAGAAACTGTTGAGGCTTCATTTATTCCCTTTGAGCAAGAGATAGTATTAAACAGTGATGTAACTAAATCTAATTTAGGCCCCAATTTTAACTGAAACGACCAACTGGAATATCACAGAAGTCCTAAGCACGACCTAAATAAAGAGAGCTTATACCTGTGAGCATGTCAATAATACTTGGCACTTTTCAGAATTCTATTTATAGAGTGATCATGAGATCTTGCGTCCACCCATTAAAGTGGAGTAACACTAGAACCTTCGTATTCTCAAAATAATTCAATCTCAATTTGAAATTAAAAAATATTTGCAGACAGTAGATGAGTGACTGTTTGCCATCAGCCAGTAGGTAGAAGGATAAGTTGGGTTCCAAGAATTCCCTAATATCTAGTGTAGTGTCCTATCCTATCACTCTGGAATTATCGAGGGTCGATTATGAGAGAAATAAACCATATGTATGAAATTGATAAGCATAATTATTACAATAAAAGTATTGATAAGACTGAAAGTCGTTACACCTAGGGTATCAAGTTTAAGTCCCAAGCGAAAATGATATAATGTTTAAAAAAGATAAAGAATCCCTCATTATCAGTAGTTGTTCAGACATGAATTTATAACCTAAATAAACATTTGATAACAGAAAAACTTACGGTCCATTGTTATCATAACCAGCAACAATAACATTATTCCACAAGGGATCAAATTTTGACCTTCTGTTGTACATCAGGCGAGTGAGCCAAGTATGAAGAGAAAAGGCTTTTAAGGAAAAACTATCATCTAAAATTTCTTCACTGATACTGAAATAAAATAAATCATATAATAAACAGCATTTTCAAAAATGTCTCGTTTTAGAAATTTAAAAGATTACACTTTTTGTTGAATTAACTCTCTCATGTATTGAAAATCGGCATAATCTCCAGTTGTTGTCATTACAATGTTGTTATTAACTTTGTAGAGCCTATCAAGAGATTTGAAACGATTTAATGATCCATAATAGCCACCAACATCTGCAGCAATAGCAACACCATTATTGAATTTGATTCCAACCACAGATGCTGTAGTTGTCATAGGATATCTGAAAAAATAATTTTCACGATAAAATTATCAATGTTTTTATAAAATAATGAATTATTTAGTCAAATAAAGAGCTCTGAATCAAATGCATTTTGTTCATTTCCATTCACAGGATAAATTTTGATAGGGACCGAATATAATTTTCAATGAAGGAACATAAGAGCACCTGTAACTTAGATACAGGAAATATGATCCAAACCATTTCAGACTTAAATTCCTTGTCAAAAATTACATGTATAAACAAAGATGTATAATTTAGTACTCAACATAAAAAAACTTTAAAAAAAATATAAATATTAGTCAAAAGAAAACTTACAAAGTCCTAGTTAGAAAATCCGGAGCTTTGATAATTTTAACTTGATGATCTTCAAGTGTGCTGTCGTTACTTCTGATAGAATTACGCTCAAAAGATGTCATAGCATCAGATATATTCAACATTGCGAATAATTTCTCAAAACTAGGAGAAAAATAAAGTATGATACCCAACTGAATGACTATTCAAACAAGTTTACTGAAGTCATTAAGTATCGATTAGTTCAAATATAGAGGTACCGCTTATTGAAAAAATTTCTAGTTTATGCACTATAAAGTTGACACTGTTGATAATGGCTAATATTCATACGATCTCTTAATAACTGTAATTATAATTTAAATCATCAAACAAATTTATTTAATTATTAAGATAGGTGTAACTTATCTTGGGGTCCCATTGACAAGTAGACCTTATTTTTTTTCTGTTCATCACTTCCTTTACTTTTAAGCAACACGGAGTTTTCTTCTGACAGGTGAGCAGGCGAGGGATTAATCCAGTGGTTAAAAGTTCGAAACCGAGATGCAAAACCGTAATTATTTTATCAAGTAAACTTTGGTTTATCAGCCTCAAAGCCAATACGTATTTTGCACACGTTTTAGCCCGCTCGGCCACACTGTTCTTAGCAAGTGGACCATATTTATAACAAGAGACTCCATTTTTAGTCCCTTTAACTATCTCTGAATTTTTTTTCGGTTATCGAATATATTGGGAACGGGCATATCGGCAACCTGATAAACCGGAGATTATATTTTCAAATCTCAGCACCCAGGTAACTTTTAACTCTGGTATTAATCCTCCGCTGCCACTCCTGGCTTGAGAAAACTCCTGTATAACTGAAAAGGCAAGATAGGAACCACATGTTTAAATGTTTAACAGAAGCGCATAAATCCTTTTTTTTTTTTTTCTTCTTTCTTTCATGATTTATCTACTCTGTTCTTCTTACACTTCATTTATCCATTTCTTCCTCAACACACGTTATGTAGGTATAATTCTTATGAGGATCCCCTATACTAATAATTCTCTTTCTTTGCTGATCATAACATAAAAGAGCTAAAGTTGACAACTATAATGGTTTGAATATCAGTAAACTAGCAGCAGTTTATTTATATTCTCAGATTAAATTGATTCCATTTCCTTTCTCCTTGCTGCTATAATAATCAATATTTCTTACATTTTAGCTCATTTTTTTACAATTTAGTTTTATTTATCCAATTTTCTCAATAATATTAATGTACTTTCCAAAACGAAATTTCATTCTTCCTAAAATATTTTCTAACCCTATACAGATGATTAATAAGTGTCCAACATGATATCGATTCAATTACTTAAGACCTCCAGCTGTAAGTTTATAAGTAATTCAAATATCAGAGTTTTGACAAATACAATTAAAAGGTCAGTGATGACAGATGAAGTTTCCAAAGCTCAAGGAGCTACTGCAGGTGGTGATACAATATTTGGAAAAATTTTGAGAAAAGAAATACCGGCTAAAGTTATCTATGAAGATGAAAAGGTTAGGGTCATTTCTGCAATCATTAATTGTGTTACTTCCATTAGTAATATTATTTTTTTTACTTTTAGTGTATGGCCTTTCATGATGTTAATCCTCAAGCACCTACCCATTTTTTGGTAATACCTAGGAAACCTATACCTGGTTTATCACATGCAGAAGATAGTGATGTTGAGGTATAGTTTTAATTTTACATACAAAATAAATACAATAGTGTTTTATGTTTCTTGAAGCAACAATGAGGCACTCATTAAATTGAGAATTAAAAAAAATATATGGCTTTAAATTTGTGTTATGCTTATAACAAACTAGTAATTAATCAGTTATTCCCTTATATCACTCTTAAATCTTGCTCAAAATGTGATGCCTTAAGGTTGGAGATCGTGAATTACTGAAAATAATTACTACTTTTTTGTTAATGTTGTTGATAAAGGCAAAACTACTACTTTAATCAGTTATCGTCCCGTTCTCCTACCAAATCAGAGTTCTCATATATATCATGATAATCTATTATATCATTAAATTTATTTAAGATTTTCATAAGTTGTTTTTGTTGGTTTTGGAAGTAAACCTTGATTGTTTTGATAATGCTCTGACCATAGAACATTACTAAACAGAGATGTGTATTACTCTTATTGTTAGCTATCTTATTTTGCCTTGCCTTCATGAGAGCCTACAATTTAGGTCAATATATCATACATTAAAAGATTTTTTTCAATTCTCACTACTTCTTGTTCACCACTTTATCTCAGCCATTGCAAATTTTTAAAAGTGGTGTAATAGAGTTTTAGTTCAATGTAATGATAACAGTTTGTAAGTACCATTACTCTAGAATATATATTTTGTGTCTTTTAATTTTAAAAATAATCAGCTAAATTTCGTGGCATTTAATTTCATAACAGAATGAGTTTTCCAATTAAATTTATAATTTTTTTTTAGTTAGTTGAAATGAAGTAATAGCTAAGTATTTTTATATTACTTTCCCACAGCAGTTATTGTTTTTTTCTGTACCAATTCTTGAAAGTAAAAAAAAACTTCCTATAGATCTTACAATATTTTTCATTCCTTTTTCTGTTCCCCAATTACTTGAAAACGAAAAGAGGAGGATTAAATTTTAAATAAAAGAATAAATATGAATATTGAAATAAAAAATAAAGCATAAATAAAAGCTATCTAACCACGTTTGATTATCTCGTACACTGAATCCCTCAGTTGTAGTATCAGCTGTTTGTGTTTTTATTCTTTAAAATAGCTTTGTAGTTAATCTGTTCAAATAATAATTAAGAATTTAAATTAATTTTACAATATTTGAGGTAACATTGTTCATGATGTTAAAGAAAACATAAATAAATCCCTTGAAGTAAATGTCAACATTTGGTGCAACCTCTTGTATCCTAACAATCAGATAATAATATATAAAATTATATATGCTTTCTTTTAATATAACTTATTAATTTAATTCCAATCAAATGGGGTACATATTGCATGTATCTAGACATTTTTTTTTATTGTTCAAAGTAACTTCATTATCTAAACTAAATTTATTGAAGGAAGTTGGTTGACTGTTCTACATATCATAGTTAATAAATAATCATGAAGGAGTCATTTTAAAATTTTTATTATTGCCAATGGTTCAACTTGAGCTTATGGCCATGTTTCCAGTACTGAGATACCCTGATGATTACCCTCGTGCTTGGATTGAAACATCGGCAACAATGAAAATCTTAAAATGACTCCTTCCTGATTATTTATCAACTATAAACTAAATTTAGATGTACATTTTGTATTCATTAATACTAATCTGATGGGTTGATCGAATAAATTTAAATTAACAAATACAAATTAGAAATCATTTTTATTTTGTGACAAAAAATGCTCTAATATAGGTAGTGTAGTTTCTTAAATACAGTTTTTATTTAATTATATGTGCATTATTGTTGATTATATTAAAAAAAAACTTAAGTAATAATTGACATTATTTAATATAGTAACGTCTCATTTTTTTTTTTTTATGTTTTCCAGCTCCTTGGACACTTAATGATTAAAGCTAAACAGCTTGCCAAAGAAGTTGGGCTCGGGAAAGGATTCCGCCTTGTAATAAATGATGGTAAAGATGGGGCTCAGTCTGTGTACCACTTACACATACATGTTCTTGGTGGCAGGCAGATGCAATGGCCTCCTGGCTAATCCATTGGGTTAACTACAGTTTATTTACATTATGGATAGTGACTGCAAAGTAATTTTCTGTGGTGGCTTGACTTTACTATTTACTGTGGTGGTTCCCTTGTTTCAATAAACATTGTGGCAGTTATTTTTAATTTTTTTATGATTTCCTCTAAATGTTGAATTATTAGTATATAGTTTTATAAATAAATATAATCTTACTCATTTTTAGAACTATAAATTAATGCCTCATTAATGTGGTAATGCAAGAAGAGATTATAGCGGAAAACCAAGCATGATTAAAATTCACAGTCAACAAAAATTTTAAAATCATTTGTTACCATTTTTTTTCTAAAACTACTTAATAATTTAAGTTAAGTAGTTATAGTGAATTATGCTTCACTAGATCTAAATTGTGGAGCAATCAAGGAAAGTTGTATGAATGCATGACTGTTGGCAAGAAGATATGGATGTAGTATATTTAAATATTGGGATGGCTTTGTAATTAGTGCACTACTAGAATAAACAGAATTTTAGAGGTTGTCCAATATTGGTGTAGGTAACATCAGATGATGTTAATTTCTTTAGTGACGAAAAGATATATATTTCCTACTTTGTTACTGCTATGAATTTAAATAAGAATGGTTAGACATAAGTAGAGGGAGTTTTTTGGGTTAAAGGACAATCAGGCTGCCATTATTGGTACTTATTGTAGGAAGTTCGAGACAAGACAGGGTTAGATAACCCTTTCAGATTAGTTATGCTTGGGCTATAGGATAAATTTTGACAGTAAATCCATAGGGTGCACTCATTTATCTACATAGGATCTCAAGTCAATTACAAAAATATGGAAGAAGAAATAGTACTACCCATTCTTTCTGTGAACCACACATCCCTTGTGCTGCAGAAGCATATGAGGATCAGCATCATGTCCAAAGCCTATAAAACAAGGATTTATGAGACCCCTATTAGGCCTGTCCTTACATATGGCTCAAAATTTTAGAAGATGGCTAAAGAACAAGTTCTTCTGAGATTTGAAAGGAAAGTGCTCCCCAAAATATATTAAGATGTGTAAGCAGGGCTTCTGGATAAGGTGAACAAATGTTGAATGAAGTGGGATATACACTGACAGGAAAAAAATTCCACCCACTTGATTTTTTTCATGTTTTCATCTAAAAATATTTCTGCTTTAGATTGGTCTATTGGTTTTAATGAATAAATAGGTAATTTTTTTGTTTGTTTTCAATTAAGAATGTTAATATACCTTTAATAATCAAAATGTTATTGGTTAAGAAAGGTTAAAGAAAAAAAAAATTGAAAAACTCAGCATACTTCCCACCAGTCGGGAAATGTCCTTTTGCTGGAGGATAGCCCATTCCTCCAGAAGAGCCCATTCAAGGTCCTGCAGTGTATCAGGAAGTGTTGCACCCCCTCTTATTCCTCTTCCAAGGTTATCCCATAAAAGCTCAATGAGGTTCAAATCTGGAGAACCTGCTGGTCATGCTAAAACCTCAATATTGTTCTGTTGAAGGAACGTCTGCACTATGTGGGCGTGCATTAGAATAGAACGATCGCCGATTTCGTTGAGGATAGGCAACACATGAGGTTCCGAAATCTCATCTACATAGCGAATGGCCGTCAAAGACCTCCCACGAACATCAACCAATTCTGTGCGGCGCTCCATTGAAATCCCAGCCCACACCATTAAGGAACCACGCTGGAAAGGTTGGCTCTGGGAAAAATTACAGGTGGCATATCTTTCGTTTCTTCTTCTCTACACCCTTTCACGCCCGTCTGGAGATCAAAGAGCGAATCTTGACTCATCTGTAAAAAGTACAGCACTCCATTCGTCCATAGTCCAATGGCTGTGTTCTCGAGCAAAAGCCAGCCGTGTTACTCTGTGAGTTCTGGATCCGCTCTGGTCCTCTTACTGGACGAAAAGTCATTAATCCATACTCATTTAATCTTCTCCGGCGGTACGTTCAGAAATTTGAACACCTCGAACTGATGAATCGCTTGAACAACGGTAAAGGTGCCGGTTTCGTAAAATTCTCAAAGTCAAAAACCGGTCATCCCGTGGTTCTGTTACCCTAGGCCGTCCAGAACCGGGCCTTCTATTGTAAGAACCAGTTTCCCAAAAATGCCTGACGGCGTCTCGTAAAGTTTCATATGGAACTCCGATGGCATTAGTTGCATATCTAATGGAACGTCCATCATCAATAAGTGCCACACCACGCGCAACATCCTCAGCACTAAGAGGCATTTTTAAACTTAATATTGAAAAAATTAAAAGCCGGAGACTAAGAAATGTGCTGCAAGAAACGGCACTGAACTAATGATACTGAATAAACATTTTGATTCCATAGAAAGTAAACATTGGAATCTAGAATCATTTCATTGAATTAAGGATTAAGGTTTATTGTCCTCTATATTAACATTCCTAATTGAAAACAAACAAAAAGATTACCTATTTATTCATTAAAAACAATAGACCAATCCAAAGCAGAAATATTTTTAGATGAAAACATGAAAAAATCAAGTGGGTGGAATTTTTTTGCCTGTCAGTGTATTAAGACACCAATGTCATTAGCTTCATCAAATTTTTATGACTCCCCTGGGTTGGTCATGTTATTAGGATGTACCAAAGAACGATCCTATTTTGGAATATGGAAAGAGAGTTTTGACCTTAAACTCTAGTTTTCTCTATCAAAATTCGCAGTATGAATAACAACCTACCTTTCTTTGCTCAGGGGCATTTAAAGGTAAAAAGGACTCAGTATGCAGGCTGAAGCTTTCCCCTTCTCCCCCCTCCCCAAACAAAGTTAAAATATAATAGGACTTAAACACCATTTCATACAGGCAGTTAGTTTCTTTCTTTTTTTTCAAATTAATTATCGATACTCCCAGGAGGTATCGAGGATTAGGATTAATCCGCTGCCAATGGGAGGCTCCTCTACAACATTGGTCCCTTGCTCAGCGACTGTCCAACATGCCCCGATGCCCTTTTTCAGTCGATTTTTCATTATTCGGCTGAGGTTGATGAATGTGCCGAGAGATTGGAGGTTGATCGGGATATTCGGAATATGATGGCTCTACGGCAGTCGCTTCGAGAAAATTCATTTGAGGAATGGACCAATTGCAGGTGGTAGGGCATTGGAGTTCGCCACTTTAAAGAGACCCCGAAAGCCAACATGTACGAAAAACAAGTACTTTCTGGGTCTGAATAGTCAAATGCCCTGAAACTAAATCTATGCACTCCTGCGTGGAGTCCCAGGTGTCAGCGGACAGGTAAGAGAAGTTGGGCCCCTCTGTCGCAAATGCGACAGAGATCCAGAGACACCAGTTCATGTGCTTAGAAAATGCTCCCTCCTTATAACGCGCCGTCACGAGAGATTATGCCTGTTTCGAGGAAGGGTATTGTATAGATACGGATGGATCCAACCGATATGCCGACATTGTAGCATTCCCTAAGACGGGAAAGTCGGCGATGATTTTGGATCCAACCGTGAGATATGAGACCAACGACCTCGATCAGGCAGGAAAAGTGGAAAGGGAGAAAAAACTTTCCTTCGTGAAAAGTTCCGCGAGAGTTTCGGGCCGAGAGAGTTCCACGTGAGAGGCCTTTGGTTCGGAGCTCGTGGAACGACACCAGACTCAACAAAGAGCTTCATGGAGGGCCTAGGTGTCGACATAAAGGAGGTAACAAAATAGTATGTTGAGCATTTCTATTATAAAAGCAAAAATGTATGAAGTGGTGCTCTTCCAGGTGTGCCACCTACTTGCATTTGTTGCCAAACAGATTCATCATTCGCAACATTTTCTTCATTTATTTCTACTTCACTTTCTTCCGAACTTGTGAGTAATCTTATTCTTTTTCGGCCACTACATACATTCACAATATTTTCCTCTTCATCGTCAGTATCTGTAGAATCAAACTCATTTTTATTTGCAACCGATATATCTTCATTTTCAGAAAATTCATCTTCACTAATTTCTGAAAACTCTTCGCCAATATTATTTATATCTTCTAAGAACTTGTACTGTCTTGTTTGCTTCGACATTTTTCTGGGTAAAAAATGATCTGTATTACTATAGCTATCAAAATAAAATATAAGCTAGGTACTTACCAAGACTTTCAATTTTTGCCACTTTTTCTTACACTAAAAAGCTATTTTCAATCTAAAATTTGATATTTTCTTGAAATTATTCTGAGCTATTTTCGTTGAACTACTTTATGCAACAGTCTTTGGAAGAATGTGCAACTTAAGGCTCATTTACACGGTGCCAGTTGGCTTGCCAGTCGAGGTCGCCAGTCACTCAATGCCAGCGACTGGCAACGTGTAAACGGTTCATGCCAGTCGCTGGAGAGGCCAGCGAGGCACTGGCAAGAAAATTTTGATTGACTGGCGCACTGGCAAGCGCCTAATTGGAACTAGATATGACTAACCAGCAAAACAAATCATTATTTTAATATCTTTTTTTTTAGTTCAATAAAAATTTATACAAACTTATAGTCCGTGGCACAAACTATAATATAGACTATAATGTAAATAAATATATATATATATATAATATATATATATATATATATATATATATATATATATAATATATATATACATATTTCAAATTTATATTATTTGAATGTGAATTTAAAAAATGTCATCCCATCTCAGCCAAGTTTAGAAGTTTTAATATTTTTATATAAATATTTAAGTGATGGTAAAATATATAATATTAGATTTTGGCTCAAGCTGTAGTAATATTGTGTTATAATAAGAATTACAATTATTATTGAAATATTAAGTAGAAAGACACCAAATGATTCTCTTTTTTTTTTAATTTTTATTTTATTTTATTTTTTTTATTTATTAAAACGAGATATCTGCTTGTTAAGAAAAACTGTAATTAAAGGTATAGAAAAAAACACCTTAATGACTTAATAATGTAGTATGATTTCATTTGATTCTAGTGCTTTCATCTTATTCATTATGGTTCAAAATTATGCTTTAAGTATGCTATATATAATAGACTTTCACTAACTATACTTATTACTACGGTTAAGGTCCCGGATTCCGATATTCGTCTAGACTGCCAAGTGGCCGGGATTGTTTCGAATTTTGTCTATCTTACGAAGCCTATAAAAT